TTTATCAATTTTTCAATTTTTCTGAGTGCCTTTTTTCATAGATTTCAGCTTTAAATCTGAGAATAATTTGGTGTATGGAGTTTGGGGTATGTTGATTGACCCTTAGGATACAAAATCTCGACAAAAAAAAATTTGAAATTTTATCGTTTTAGTAAGAAGGTAGCTACCTTATGATTCAGATTTTGGAAAATTTTGGAAGGGCATAACTTTTTTTCTATTATAGATAAAAAGCTGAAACTTTCACTGAATTTTATCCCTTTCAAAGGACTACAATCCCTGAAAATTTCAGCTCATTTGCACTTATAGTTCCTGAGATAAAATCGTGTTAAGCAATTTGGGGTGATTTATCAATTTTTCAATTTTTCTGAGTGCCTTTTTTCATAGATTTCAGCTTTAAATCTGAGAATAATTTGGTGTATGGAGTTTGGGGTATGTTGATTGACCCTTAGGATACAAAATCTCGACAAAAAAAAATTTGAAATTTTATCGTTTTAGTAAGAAGGTAGCTACCTTATGATTCAGATTTTGGAAAATTTTGGAAGGGCATAACTTTTTTTCTATTATAGATAAAAAGCTGAAACTTTCACTGAATTTTATCCCTTTCAAAGGACTACAATCCCTGAAAATTTCAGCTCATTTGCACTTATAGTTCCTGAGATAAAATCGTGTTAAGCAATTTGGGGTGATTTATCAATTTTTCAATTTTTCTGAGTGCCTTTTTTCATAGATTTCAGCTTTAAATCTGAGAATAATTTGGTGTATGGAGTTTGGGGTATGTTGATTGACCCTTAGGATACAAAATCTCGACAAAAAAAAATTTGAAATTTTATCGTTTTAGTAAGAAGGTAGCTACCTTATGATTCAGATTTTGGAAAACTTTGGAAGGGCATAACTTTTTTTCTATTATAGATAAAAAGCTGAAACTTTCTCTGAATTTTATCCCTTTCAAAGGACTACAATCCCTGAAAATTTCAGCTCATTTGCACTTATAGTTCCTGAGATAAAATCGTGTTAAGCAATTTGGGGTGATTTATCAATTTTTCAATTTTTCTGAGTGCCTTTTTTCATAGATTTCAGCTTTAAATCTGAGAATAATTTGGTGTATGGAGTTTGGGGTATGTTGATTGACCCTTAGGATACAAAATCTCGACAAAAAAAAAATTGAAATTTTATCGTTTTAGTAAGAAGGTAGCTACCTTATGATTCAGATTTTGGAAAACTTTGGAAGGGCATAACTTTTTTTCTATTATAGATAGAAAACTGAAACTTTCACTGAATTTTATCCCTTTCAAAGGACTACAATCCCTGAAAATTTCAGCTCATTTGCACTTATAGTTCCTGAGATAAAATCGTGTTAAGCAATTTGGGGTGATTTATCAATTTTTCAATTTTTCTGAGTGCCTTTTTTCATAGATTTCAGCTTTAAATCTGAGAATAATTTGGTGTATGGAGTTTGAGGTATGTTGATTGACCCTTAGGATACAAAATCTCGACAAAAAAAAAATTGAAATTTTATCGTTTTAGTAAGAAGGTAGCTACCTTATGATTCAGATTTTGGAAAACTTTGGAAGGGCATAACTTTTTTTCTATTATAGATAGAAAACTGAAACTTTCACTGAATTTTATCCCTTTCAAAGGACTACAATCCCTGAAAATTTCAGCTCATTTGCACTTATAGTTCCTGAGATAAAATCGTGTTAAGCAATTTGGGGTGATTTATCAATTTTTCAATTTTTCTGAGTGCCTTTTTTCATAGATTTCAGCTTTAAATCTGAGAATAATTTGGTATATGGAGTTTGGGGTATGTTGATTGACCCTTAGGATACAAAATCTCGACAAAAAAAAAATTGAAATTTTATCGTTTTAGTAAGAAGGTAGCTACCTTATGATTCAGATTTTGGAAAACTTTGGAAGGGCATAACTTTTTTTCTATTATAGATAGAAAACTGAAACTTTCACTGAATTTTATCCCTTTCAAAGGACTACAATCCCTGAAAATTTCAGCTCATTTGCACTTATAGTTCCTGAGATAAAATCGTGTTAAGCAATTTGGGGTGATTTATCAATTTTTCAATTTTTCTGAGTGCCTTTTTTCATAGATTTCAGCTTTAAATCTGAGAATAATTTGGTGTATGGAGTTTGGGGTATGTTGATTGACCCTTAGGATACAAAATCTCGACAAAAAAAAATTTGAAATTTTATCGTTTTAGTAAGAAGGTAGCTACCTTATGATTCAGATTTTGGAAAATTTTGGAAGGGCATAACTTTTTTTCTATTATAGATAAAAAGCTGAAACTTTCACTGAATTTTATCCCTTTCAAAGGACTACAATCCCTGAAAATTTCAGCTCATTTGCACTTATAGTTCCTGAGATAAAATCGTGTTAAGCAATTTGGGGTGATTTATCAATTTTTCAATTTTTCTGAGTGCCTTTTTTCATAGATTTCAGCTTTAAATCTGAGAATAATTTGGTGTATGGAGTTTGGGGTATGTTGATTGACCCTTAGGATACAAAATCTCGACAAAAAAAAATTTGAAATTTTATCGTTTTAGTAAGAAGGTAGCTACCTTATGATTCAGATTTTGGAAAATTTTGGAAGGGCATAACTTTTTTTCTATTATAGATAAAAAGCTGAAACTTTCACTGAATTTTATCCCTTTCAAAGGACTACAATCCCTGAAAATTTCAGCTCATTTGCACTTATAGTTCCTGAGATAAAATCGTGTTAAGCAATTTGGGGTGATTTATCAATTTTTCAATTTTTCTGAGTGCCTTTTTTCATAGATTTCAGCTTTAAATCTGAGAATAATTTGGTGTATGGAGTTTGGGGTATGTTGATTGACCCTTAGGATACAAAATCTCGACAAAAAAAAATTTGAAATTTTATCGTTTTAGTAAGAAGGTAGCTACCTTATGATTCAGATTTTGGAAAATTTTGGAAGGGCATAACTTTTTTTCTATTATAGATAAAAAGCTGAAACTTTCACTGAATTTTATCCCTTTCAAAGGACTACAATCCCTGAAAATTTCAGCTCATTTGCACTTATAGTTCCTGAGATAAAATCGTGTTAAGCAATTTGGGGTGATTTATCAATTTTTCAATTTTTCTGAGTGCCTTTTTTCATAGATTTCAGCTTTAAATCTGAGAATAATTTGGTGTATGGAGTTTGGGGTATGTTGATTGACCCTTAGGATACAAAATCTCGACAAAAAAAAATTTGAAATTTTATCGTTTTAGTAAGAAGGTAGCTACCTTATGATTCAGATTTTGGAAAACTTTGGAAGGGCATAACTTTTTTTCTATTATAGATAAAAAGCTGAAACTTTCTCTGAATTTTATCCCTTTCAAAGGACTACAATCCCTGAAAATTTCAGCTCATTTGCACTTATAGTTCCTGAGATAAAATCGTGTTAAGCAATTTGGGGTGATTTATCAATTTTTCAATTTTTCTGAGTGCCTTTTTTCATAGATTTCAGCTTTAAATCTGAGAATAATTTGGTGTATGGAGTTTGAGGTATGTTGATTGACCCTTAGGATACAAAATCTCGACAAAAAAAAAATTGAAATTTTATCGTTTTAGTAAGAAGGTAGCTACCTTATGATTCAGATTTTGGAAAACTTTGGAAGGGCATAACTTTTTTTCTATTATAGATAGAAAACTGAAACTTTCACTGAATTTTATCCCTTTCAAAGGACTACAATCCCTGAAAATTTCAGCTCATTTGCACTTATAGTTCCTGAGATAAAATCGTGTTAAGCAATTTGGGGTGATTTATCAATTTTTCAATTTTTCTGAGTGCCTTTTTTCATAGATTTCAGCTTTAAATCTGAGAATAATTTGGTGTATGGAGTTTGGGGTATGTTGATTGACCCTTAGGATACAAAATCTCGACAAAAAAAAAATTGAAATTTTATCGTTTTAGTAAGAAGGTAGCTACCTTATGATTCAGATTTTGGAAAACTTTGGAAGGGCATAACTTTTTTTCTATTATAGATAGAAAACTGAAACTTTCACTGAATTTTATCCCTTTCAAAGGACTACAATCCCTGAAAATTTCAGCTCATTTGCACTTATAGTTCCTGAGATAAAATCGTGTTAAGCAATTTGGGGTGATTTATCAATTTTTCAATTTTTCTGAGTGCCTTTTTTCATAGATTTCAGCTTTAAATCTGAGAATAATTTGGTGTATGGAGTTTGGGGTATGTTGATTGACCCTTAGGATACAAAATCTCGACAAAAAAAAAATTGAAATTTTATCGTTTTAGTAAGAAGGTAGCTACCTTATGATTCAGATTTTGGAAAACTTTGGAAGGGCATAACTTTTTTTCTATTATAGATAGAAAACTGAAACTTTCACTGAATTTTATCCCTTTCAAAGGACTACAATCCCTGAAAATTTCAGCTCATTTGCACTTATAGTTCCTGAGATAAAATCGTGTTAAGCAATTTGGGGTTATTTATCAATTTTTCAATTTCTCTGAGTGCCTTTTTTCATAGATTTCAGCTTTAAATCTGAGAATAATTTGGTGTATGGAGTTTGGGGTATGTTGATTGACCCTTAGGATACAAAATCTCGACAAAAAAAAAATTGAAATTTTATCGTTTTAGTAAGAAGGTAGCTACCTTATGATTCAGATTTTGGAAAACTTTGGAAGGGCATAACTTTTTTTCTATTATAGATAGAAAGCAGAAATTTTGAGCGATTCTTACTTCAGTAGAGGACTATACAATTTTTAGCTCATTTGGACTTATAGTTCAAATTGTTGTAAATTCTTGACACGATGGCGAAGGCTTTCACCACTTGCAAACGCTCTCTATCAAATTACTCAACTACTAAGCCAATTTCCATCTCTTTTTGTAACATTGTTGAAAAGAGATACTTACCCTACCAACTATTGATTTTTCATTTGAAAAACAATAAAGGAGCACATTTTATCTTTTTTTATCAAATGCAACTAAGAAAGACAACCATAACCGTAAAAATAAATAATTACATCGGGTGGATTTTAATTTAAAAGAGAGGTCGAAAACCTTTTATTATTTAAGAATTTGAAAAAAAAATTAATTTACAGTTTTCAATAAGTAATTAAAATGATTCTCAATGAAGCACCGTTTTAGGCAGTAATTGCAATATGTTTCAGTCAAAAACAATGTGATAAACCTTAAATTACTAGCGTAAGTGAAAACACATTTTTAAATCACAAATAATCGTACGAGGACTTTTTAATTCAAGCATTCAAATCATGGATCAAGAAAAATCGAACATTGAATACAGCCTACTACACCGTTTCATAGTATGGCGCAGAAAAAAACGAATGTCCATAATAATGCTCATAATTTTCCTGCTAATGGTCGTATTTGCCCTGCAATTTTACCTCATCGATCAAAAGGGCAGGTTAAATGCCGAAATCAACGAAAAAGAGGACGAGGCTTTTATGCAGAGCATCAAAGTCAAGTTTATCGAGGCGGCAAAATTGAATAGTCAAGAACAAAATGGAAATAAAAGGATTTTGAAGGATGTTGAGAGGTTGAAACGGTTGGAACAACCCAGTAGGGATGAGATTATTGCCAAAAGGCAAACAGAAAAAGTACCAGAAGGTGATTTGTTAATCAGCAAATTTTATGTTTTGTGTTTTCAATTTAAGGGCTGGTTTATTCACCTTCTGATAAAAATGCAATCTGTAATCCCATTGGTTGGCCAGTTAAGACTATCACACACACGGTTTTTGCTAAAGTATAAGCAATAAGTTCCAACCAATCGCAGGTTGTTTTAAAAGGTTACCAGATGTTCAGTTGACAGTCAAGTGACCTTTTAATACAACCTGTGATTGGTTGGAGCTTATGCGTTATGCAAAACGTACTGTAGTGTGTGTCGGCCTTTATCCGCAAAAGAAAAAAAATTATTAATTCTTTTTGGGCGCAACTAGGGGGGTACTTGGGGGTGCTAAGCACCCCCAAAACAAAATTTAGCACCCCCATCCGGCATTCTACCATAGCACTACCTAACACTAGCCCTAATAGCACATAACATTCCATGTACATTCGCAGAACATACATTTAAGACATAAGGAACATTCCATGAATGTCTCCTAATGTTCTAAGACATTCCAGGAACATTCAGGGAAAAGCCTTTGTCAGCATTTTGAATATTCCGTGAACATCTTCGTATGTTCTACATACATTCAGGGAATATTTTTTGGATTTACTTAGGATATACCAGGAATGTTGATCTTTGTCTAGTTCATAGAAAACCGGAATGGCTAATGGCTATCTCGTGATGGTGGATCAGATAGATTTATAAATATAAAAATCACATGACACGATCAATATTCATACGCCAAAAAGGCGCTATATTTAAAAAAGGAAATAGAAACTTACTAGTTGACGTTTCTATGCTTTTTATGTGTTTTCGAATATAAAATATAGGTAGGAGTACAAAATTAATAATTATGAATAACTCCTGATGTGGATTTTACTAATTATGTAATTGATAAAATTGGACCAAAAATGTATTGAGTTTAATTTGCGCTATTTTTATCATTAAAATTTCAAAAATACCTACACATCTTTTCATTTTTTTTTTTACAAACTCCGTGCATAAGACTGAACGTCCTGCAGAAATATTCCTTGAACATTCATTTTATGTCTAAAAAATCTTGACTTTCCTAGAACATTCATAGAATATACTGATAAAATATTCTGTGAACATACCTAAAAAGATATTCCAGGAACATTCCTTCAATGTCTAGGACATTCAAACTTTCGCATGACTTTGCTGGAACATTCTTTGAATATTTTGTGCTATTAGGGAAGTAATATAAAATAATAAAAAAATAATGGTACTATATAGCACCCCTCAAATTTGGAATTGAGTTGCGCCACTAAAAGAATTAAGTATATAAATTCACAAAGGACCCCGCACCCCTCTTATGGGTATTTGGTTTTCTGTCAAATTCAATGAAATTTTGATATGTGATAGACCTTTACTTCCTGATAAAAAGTTCTCATGGGCTTGAACCAATCCTATGATTAGTTTTTGAGATACAGGTAGTTTAATGTCCGAGAAATGTACAGTAAGAATCATTGCAATTTGGCACACACTATATTAACATCCCCCATAATGTGTAAAATCTAATGGTTAAAATTTCGACTTAATACGAGGGATGTTAAAAGAGTATAGTATGTGCTAATTGCAATGATTCCCGGTACACATTTCATATGCATTTAGATCTACCTGTCACCTGAGCGTGAGGATACCTATCCATCCTGGTATAATTAGGTTGTATCAACGGTAAATGCATATAAAATGTGTACAGGGTGTTTTTTCATATATTATATTGACACCCCACCTACAGCCTTTACCTTTACAGGTAGAAGAAAGGTGTAAATATGAAAGTTGTACAGTTTTGGCTGAATTTTTAGAAACCATGGTCAGTAACAAAATTTGAATGTCAGAAATGTGAAATTTTTCATACTTCCAGCTTTTTCCAAATGGGAAGCCCTATATTTTATTCTATATTCTTGAAGAGCAGAATGCCCCGATTCCAAAAATATATAGTTTGTCTATATTTAATTGAACAGTCTCATATATTTGGCTTCAAAACCATTCTACCTGCACAGGTGAAAGCTGCAGGTATTTGAGGTACTTGGTTTCTCTGATAGAATTTTTAAAATTTTTAGAACCAAATATGTTGGACACAGCTCAACCAAATACAGACAAACTATAGAGTATTGGAATCGAGAAATTGCGCTCTTCAAGAATATAGAATGAAATATAGTTATAAATTGATCTCACAAATTTTGACTTTACATAATAAGTTATTGTTCAAGTACAAATAAGTGGATTACTGCGGAACTTATGGGTGGACCTCTGCGGGACGAACGCAGCGAGTTCCGCAGCCATCTATTTATCAATATGTTGTTTAATTACGATACTAACCTGACTCACTCAAATGTGAGTTGTTCTCATAAGTTTAAAAACTACACGTTTCAGGTGAATGTCTTACTTGAATAGTTCAACATTATATTGGTGAGTAGATGGCTGCGGAACTCGCTACGCTCGTCCCGCAGAGGTCCACCCATAAGTTCCGCAATAATTTACTTATTTGTACTTGAACTAACTTATTATGTGAGGTCAAAATTTGTGAGATTATCCACTTTTAGTCAATTTGCCTTTTAACAGGAATTAGTAATGTAACTTTATTAAACTAAGTAACTTAATGTGACAAGTTATTCAACTACAAATGAGTGAATTGTTGCGGAACTTATGGGTGGACCTCTGCGGGACGAGCGCAGCGAGTTCCGCAGCTATCTATTTATCAATATGATACTAACCTGACAAATGTGTGTTATTCTCATTAGATTGTTTGTCATTAGTTTAAAAACTACACGTTTCAGGTGAATGTCTTACTTGAATCGTTCAACAGAATATTGGTGAGTGAATGGCTGCGGAACTCGCTACGCTCGTCCCGCAGAGGTCCATTCATAAGTTCCATTATAATCCACTTATTTGTACTTGAATAATAACTTATTATGTAAAGTCAAAATGTGTAAGATTATCTATTTTTTGTCAATTTGCCTTCCAACAGGAATTAGTAATGTTACTTTACCAAACTAGTAATATATTGTGACAAATTATTCGAGTACAAACGAGTGGATTGTTGTGAAACTAGAATATTAATCTGATTCACTCAGTTGTGAGTTTTTCTCATTAGTTCAAAAATTACACGTACAACAATAGTATAGGTATTGGTGAGTAGATGGCTGCGGGACGAGCACAGGTCCACTCATAAGTTCCGCAATAATCCAGTTATTTGTACAGGGTGTTTTTTATATATTGACACCCCACCTACAGCCTTTACCTTTACAGGTAGAAGAAAGGTGTAAATATAAAAGTTGTACAGTTTTGGCTGAATTTTTAGAAACAGAAACAAAATTTGAATGTCAGAAATGTGAAATTTTGCATGCTTCCAGCTTTTTTCAAATGGGATGCCCTATATTTCATTTTATATTCTTGAAGGTAAAGGCTGTAGGTGGGGTGTCAATATATAAAAAAACAACCTGTACATTTCTTGGACATTTAAGTACCTCAAAACTAGTCATAGGATTGGTTCTGGCCCATGAGAACTTTTCATCAGGAAGTCAAGGCCTAACACATATCAAAATTTTATTGAATTTGACAGAAAACCAAATACCCATAAGAGGTGTGCGAGGTCCTTTCTCTTGCAAATATAGTTTTTGGCAAGTTTATCTGAAGTCGAATAAACTGAGCTCTTTGTCAATACATTTTGCTCCAATATTATCATTATTTACAAATTTAAGGCTTAAAAGGTTCATTTTTAATATATAGAGCTGAATTTCAACTGAAAATGTTATTTCCTCGATTATTTCACTCCAATGTTTTACAATTCTAGAGGTGAAATTGGGCTATTCCAGGAGCTTATTTATTTCTCTCTTTGATCTGGAATTTAACTAGAAAAAATTCTCTTATCTCACCACCTCTTCCATAAAAGAAGAGTGAAAATTGTATTTTCAACTCTCCTGAAGATATATACAGTAAGCACGTATAAAGGTTGGAATAAAATCCAAAAAATATACAGGGTTGATATTTTTCAAAAAACCTCGGACACGTCGATTTTTGATTTTAGTGGTCATTCTTTAGATGAAAATTTCATGTATACACAGGGTGACCCAAAAACAACTTATGACAGCTAACTTTATTTTTTTTAATGAAAACACTGATTTTTTATTTCATTTTCAAATTCTACGTTGAATTCTGAACCTTTTTTATGTGTTATGTCTTATCTTCAACTGTTTCAGAAATATTGACAGTTGAAAATTGACTTTTTTACAATTTTCTTTTTGATTAAAAAAAAATAAAGTTAGCTGTCATAACTTGTTTTTGGGTCACTCTGTATACATGCAATTTTCATCTAAAAAATGGCCACTAAAATAAAAAATCGACGCGTCTGAGGTTTTTTGAAAAATATCAACCCTGTATATTTTATGGATTTTTTTCCTACCTTTACGTGCTCACTGTATAAAAAAAAAATTATTAGACAAAAACAGAACTCTGATATATTTTACTAAAGTCATTTGAGGAGCCCTTTATATTTGCTTTAACCCTGACAAATTCCTTGATGATTTTAGCGTTCGAAACAGACCAGCAACTAGGCATCCCATACGTAATAACCAATCAAAAAAACCCGTACATACCCAAGCACAGAATAGTACATTTTGACTTAAAAGGGGCTCCACCTACAATAGATTACTTCAAAAAAATCATATCTCTATCAAAAAACGCTGGAGCTACAGGCATTTTAATCGAATACGAAGACATGTTTCCCTTTACTGGCATTCTGGCCCCTCTATCGGCCAAAAACGCTTATAAATTGGAACAAGTAAAGGAAATTTTACATTATGCAGAGGAATTGAAACTGGAAGTTATCCCACTTGTGCAAACCTTTGGACACATGGAATTTGCTTTAAAATATAAGGAATTTGCACATATTAGGCAAGAATTTGTCTCTGTGTCATTAGAAAATTTCAATAATGATTATTTTAGAGAAGTCCCTGGCAGTCCTCAAGCTTTATGCCCCAGCAGAAATTCCTCCCTAGATTTCATCAAAGAATTGATAAAGCAAATCTTAGACTTGCACCCTAGCACAAAATACCTTCACATTGGTTGTGACGAAGTCTTTGAAATGGGCGAATGTGAAATTTGCCGCACCGAATTACATGAAAACCTATTTCTCAAACATGTGCAAAATGTGGCTAAATTAGTCCACGAGAAAAACCCCAAAGTTCAAGTGATTATATGGGACGATATGTTGAGGCACATTTCCTTGCAGACGCTTCAATCTTTTAAAATTGGAGATATGGTCGAACCTATGGTGTGGGTTTACGCCGAAGATATTTACAGATTTGTACAGCCTACGATTTGGGATAAATATGCCGGAGTTTTTAAGACTGCATGGACTGCGTCTGCTTTTAAAGGTAGGAGATTTCAACTTTGAGGCTCAATATCTTAAAAAACTGTGCGGGTAATAGTTCAAATTTTGAATATTACTGGCTCTAAATTCATTGGAAAATGCTGGAGTAATCAATCCAGAGCTGATCAAAATCAAAATATGGACTACCTATTACCGGCTCTTAATTATTCTAGAGTAATCTTCCAATGAGTCGAGAGCCAGTAATGTGGACTATTATTGGTTCTTGATTACTCCTGGATTAATTGACTAGTGAATGGAACAAAGGTAATAGTCTCAACTTTTGAACTTTTCTAGCAAATGGAGTGCCAGTAATAGTTCAAATTTTGAATATTACTGGTTTTGGATTCACTAGAAAAATGCTGATAATAATCAAAATATGGACTACCTATAACCAGTTCTTGATTGTTCTAGAGCAATTTTCCAATGAATCGAGAGCTGGGTAATGTGGACTATTATTGGCTCTTGATAGTTCCTAGATCAATTTCCCAGGGAATAGAGAACTGGTAATAGTCCCAATTTTTCTAGCGAATATAGTGCCGGCAATAGTTCAAATTGTGAATATTACTGTTTCTAGATTCACTGAAAAAATGCTGATAATAATCCAAATATGGACTACCTATTACTGGCTTTTGATTGTTCTAGAGTAATCTTCCAATGAGTCAAGAGCCGGTAATGTGGACTATTATTGGTTCTTGGATTGCTCCTAGATCAATTCACCTGTGAAGAACTGGTAATAGTCCTAATTTTTGAATTTTTCCAGCGAATGGATTGCCGGTATTAGTTCAAATTTTGAATATTACTAGCTCTGGATTCACTGGAAAAATGCTATAGCCAGAACTGATAATAATCAAAATATGGATTACCTACCTATTACCGGATTTTGGATTGTTCCTAGTTCAATTTTCCAGTGAATGCAAAACTGGTAATAATCCCAATTGGATAATCAAAATTGAAATTTTTCTAACGGGTACATATTATGTAAGGAAACTAAATTTTCAAGGACTATATTATGGAAACCAGAAAAGTTGTAGATCTCGGTTGGGGGCATCGAGTCCCAAGACTTCGTTTTCGAGATAATCGGCTTTAAAAGTTTTCCAAAATTTGAAACAATGTTTCAACTTTGAGGCTCAATATCTTGGAAACTATTTGAGATAAAGGATTCAATGTTGTTTTATCTTAAAGAGCATTTAATTTTGATCAAGAATACATAAATATGCATTAAAATTTGTAAAATAATAAATAAGTTATGTGCGATTTTGTGAGGCAATGTTGGATAATCAAAATTTTTCAGGGCCAAAAATGTAAAACTCTGTTACATAATAAGGTTTATATCAATGTGATATCAATACACAACAATTTTACCTTATTCTTACTTGAATTAAACTTAGAAATTATATAATTCTGGGTTTTAGGTGCTTTTGGTGAAACTTTATATATCCCAAACGCCCGCAGACATCTGGAAAACAACCTCAGATGGTTAGACGTAATGTCCACCCAATCTATATCCTTCAAACGAGGTTTTAGAGGTATAGTATTAACAGGCTGGCAAAGATACGATCACTTTGCCGTACTGTGTGAACTTTTACCAGCCGCTTTGCCCTCGCTGATATTGAATTTACTGGCAACAAGCCACGGGTTTTTCAATGTTACTCAGAAAGATCAGTTTCTGAGCGCGTTGAGCTGTCCTAGACAAAGCGACAACAGAAGGCCTATTCCGTTTCTGAGTTTGGATTCTGATCCTAATATGTGGGAAAAGTTGGCTAGATGTTTGTTTCCTGGAAATGAATTTTTCAAGTAAGAATGTTTAACAATATTGATTTATTTTAAAGTAATATTGTTTAGGCTAATGTATCGTCTGCACAATATGGAAAATGAAGCAAAAGAGTATTTAGATGTTACTACAAAACAAAGAGGCTGGATGACTGCTTATAATGGAAAACACAATTACAGCTTACCTTTAAGAGTAGATGAACTCACTCAAGAATTACCAAGAGTTTATCATGGCATGATTAATTTAGCTAGAAATACAGTTGATTCTTTGGGTAAATGGTTCGACAATTATACAATATCCGAATGGATCGAACAAAGAATATATCCCTATATGTTAGAATTGGAAAAAATTCAAAATCAAAGTACGACTTTGAAAAATGTGATGTATTGGCCTGCGAGGCCTTTGCCAATTTTAAAAGAACTACAACGTCACGGTATAGCTATAGGACTCAATTAGTTATATTGCACCTCTCTCTTATTGATGTCGCTAATAATTTTTGACTTTTTATAATTATTGCAGTTTTACTGCACAAAAAGAGACTGAATTTTTTAAATTTCATTTCACAACAATCATGACAATTCTGGCTAAAAGTTGTTGGGAAACATGTTTATTCTAGTCAAAAATATGAACAAATTTTCTGTTTTTCTAATTTGATATTTTAGTGGCTGTGTTGAATTTTCAAAATTTGTATTGAAAAGAAATTTCTTTGTAGTATTTAATTAGATGAGAATCTCCAAGAAAAAATTGAGTTAAGATTTTATTTATTTTATAAATTATGTAGGTTGTTAAATTCTACTATACACTGTTTTAGATTTTTAAGTACAAATCATATTTGATAGTCTACTGTAAGAGTTTTGGGGTTGTTAGCCTGTGTATCATCAAATATTCTAGAATTTAAATAAATATACAATCATTAATAATTATTTAGTAAGATAATGCATCTTGTTTCACTTTAGATTAGGATTTTGAGGAAAATGTACCTTTTCATGTTTCGATGTTTTTCTGGAAAACTAGCAACAGGAATATTTTGAAACTTTTTGATTATTCAAAAACTGTACGTATGATTGAATTCCTACTAACATGGACAGAAAGAGACTCATCTCAGTGAAATTTCAAAATGATCCAGTGAAAAATAGCTACAAGAGCAATTGAGCAATTCATGAAAATCAACTTAAATTATGCAAAAATGCACCTATCGACATTTCGATATTTTTTTGAAAATCCATTGAAGAGGAAATTTTGAAACTTCTAGAGTAAAAAGAGAAAAGTTAAGAACTCCTTATACTTAAATACAAATGTAAATTAGAATAAAACACTACTTCATCATAATAAATTAATTTTATATTTAAAACCATGTAAGATCCATATTTCGAATACCATATTGTAAAATGAAAAATGACGTGATTACCTACTTAAAGTACAACAAACAAAAAAAAAAAGGAGACTTATTTACAAAGATAACAAAAAAAAAAACGATATTTAAGCTTACAAAAGCATCTCAAAAGTTCCAAAGCCTAGAGAAATCACTCCAATATTTCTCTAGCTCCACACTTTATTCAATACTCTTTTTAGTTATTGCTCAATTAAAAGTTAATAGGTTTTCCCGAATAAGCCATCAAGTTAGCTTCTCTAAGAGCTTCCGCGCAGGTCGGATGCGCGTGACATACTCTAGCAACATCCTCAGCTGAAGCACCATATTCCTAAAACAATCAATAAGCAACCAAGAAATTATAAACCCATTAGAAACTCACTTGTGCCAATACTGCTTCATTAATCAACTCCCCAGCGCCAGGACCGATAATGTGAGTCCCCAAAATCCTGTCTGTAGCCCTATCAGAAAGCACCTTAACAAATCCATCAGTGTCATTGTTTGTCTTTGCTCTAGAGTTGGCCAAAAACGGAAATTTGCCTATTTTATAATCGATGCCTTCACTTTTAAGATCTTCTTCACTTTTACCAACCCAACCAACTTCGGGATGAGTATAAATAACTGAAGGCACGCAGTTGTAATCAATATGAACTGCTCCTCCTAAAATACCTTCGACACAAATAATACCTTCATCTTCTGCTTTGTGTGCTAACATAGGCCCATGAATACAATCCCCAATAGCGTAAATATTTGGAATAACAGTTTGAAATACTGAATTAACTGGTACTCTGCCTTTTTGGTCTTTTTCAATGCCCATCTCTTCTAGGCCTAGGTTTTCAGTGTAAGGCCTTCTGCCTACACAAACAAGCAAAACGTCGCACTCCATCTCTTCAGTTTTGCTGCTGTCTTTAACATCTTGCACATTAACTTTAATGACGCCTCCAGATTTTGAAGCACCTGTCACCTTGGTGCCTAATTTAAACTTCAAGCCTTGTTTGACTAAAATTTTTTGGAAAGATTTTGAAACTTCTTGGTCAATACCTACACCTCCAATTGTAGGCATAAACTCAATTGCAGTTACTTCTGAACCCAATCTGGACCATACTGAGCCCAATTCTACCCCAATCACTCCTGCTCCAATAACAATTAATCTTTTTGGTACTTCACGCAAAGACAAAGCACCTGTTGAAGAAACTATTTGTTCTTCATCAATTTCAATGCCAGGGAATGGAGTGACTTCTGAACCGGTTGCGATTAAAATGTTTTTTGTGTTTACAACTTCAGTTGTACCATCAGGTTTAATAGCAGTCACTTGATTAACGCCTGTGATTTTTCCATGGCCTGTAATCAAATCGACTTTGTTTTTTTTGAAAAGTTGCGCAATTCCTCCGGTTAAGGCTTTAACTGCGGTGCTTTTTTGGCCCATAAGTGATTCTAAATTCAAACGAATATTGTCGCTTTCGATGCCCCTTTTAGCCAAATCACCCGAATGAGCCATGTGATAGTAATGTGAATTGTTAAGCAAGGCTTTTGAAGGGATACAACCGACGTTTAAACAGGTTCCTCCTAAGGTGGCTGCTTTTTCTATGCATACAGTCTAGAAATAATTTAATCAAGAAAAGTGGGGTTTTGATTGGGAGTTTGTATACCTACTTTCATGCCTAACTGAGCTGCTTTTATTGAAGCCACGTACCCACCAGGACCTGAACCTATAACGACTATGTCGGCTTCGCCTGATGCGGAGTACATTCGGTGGTGGAAAAGACCTGAGGCTACATTGCGGTGTAATCTCAAGGTTGAAGGCTGGAAAAAAAATTGTTTATTGGATTTAATTTAGTAAGAGTTCATTGATTTTTAGTCTTTTGGAGTGGAAACAACAATGTTAGTTGAGTTGATCCAAAAAAATACAAGAAAAACACTACCTATAATTTAGATTTTTGTAAAATTTCAGCGTTTTTCAATTTTTCAAAGAATCTGGCTCCAAATCTCAGAACAATTTAGTGTATTAAGTTTGGGGGGGTCCCAAAGGACCATTATGACACAAATTCTTAACAAAAAAAAAATTGATATTTCATCATTTTAGCACGAAGGTATCATTTAAATTTTGGAAAACTTTGAAAGGTCGTAACTTTTTTTCTATTGGAAATGCAAAGCTGAAATTTCCAGCGATTCTTATCCCAGTAGAGGACTACAATTTCAGCTCATTTGGACTTATACTTCCAGAAATAAAATCGTGTTAAGCAATTTGAGGTAGTTTATCAATTTTTCTGAGTGCCTTTTTTCATAGATTTCGGCTTCAAATCTGAGAATAATTTAGTGTTTGAAGTTTGGGGAATTCGAAAAGACTAATAAGATATAAAATCTTAACAAAACAAAATTTGAAATTTCATCATTTTAGTAATTATTTTAGTAAGAAGGTACCTAGCTACCTTATGATTTAGATTTTGAAAAACTTTGGATGGTCATAACTTTTTTTGTATTATAGATAGAAAACTGAAATTTTCAGCGATTCTTATCCCCGAGCTTATTCCAGTAGAGGACTACAGTCCCTGAAAATTTCAGCTCATTTGGACTTATAGTTTCAGCAATAAAATCAGGTTAAGCAAATTGGGGTATATTGATCATTTTTCAATTTTTCTGAGTGCCTTTTTTTATAGAATTCGGCTCCAAATCTAAGAATAATTTAGTGGATGGAATTTGGGGCACCCTAAATGATTATTTGGATACAAAATTTTAACATAGAAAAAATTTAAATTTCATAGTTTTCAAGGGGTAAACCACCCCTAAGATTTTTGACTTGACAAATATTTCCTTTTGGGGGAATCATTTCCCGAATATTGCCTTTATTTCCTATATTTTCCAATAATTCCCGATATTGCCTCATAATTCCTCATAATGCCTTATAATTCTCTCATATTTCCAGTCACTCTCAAATATTTAACATAATTCCTCCGTAATTTCTGATAATTCCCCAATATTTCCTTTATTATTGTTACGAAAATGCATCGACAACCCGGCGAGAATTCTGAGAAAATTACTTCTTTACGTCGCATCGGCACGCGTATCTTTCTATTCGATTTGAGAGCTATTTAATGAGGGAACAAGCAGTGAACTTTTATTGAAATGAAAAGGAACTATTACCGGATTTGACATCTTGAAACAAGCTCAAAAATGGGTTTTCTGGAAAATTCTATAAACTTCTCTAGAATTCTATTTGGAAACTGTAAGTTATTCAAGATTAGTGACGACATCGAAAAACCAGCTCACAAGCGGATTCTCGCGAGGATTTTCTTGAAAACTCTAAAAACTTCTATGGCATTTTATTTGGAAACCATAAGTGATATAAGAATAGTGACTTCATCCACATTCCACAAAGTGGTTTTCTTAAAACATTCCATTGTGTTCTATTTTAAAATTTCAAATCACAGAACTTAAGGTTCAAAATCAAATTTCAAGAAAGATACAGGATATTCTATAGTGAATATGACATTTGAAATGGTGCAAGTTAATCAAATCTTGTCATACTTCATGAAAAGCTTAGATGACAAGATACAAGAGGAAGATTGAAGATAAATGGAAAGACTGAAAGAAGAAGTCCGAAAACGGAAAGAAAAAGAAAAACAAGACCGGCTTGCACTTGGCTTGCACTGCGTGCAGCACTTTTACAAAAAGAAGCACAAAAGGAGAAAGAGAAACAAGAAGAACTAGAGCGAAGACAGAAAGAACAGGACTGGCTTAAAGCATTTTTGTACAAAAAAAAATATCGAAAATAGAAAGAAAAACAATAAGGAAAGGACCGGCTTCAGGAAAACTTTAAATTTTAGCGAGAATGGATGCAAACCGTAATCTCTGAGGAACAAACTATGCTGGTGAAAATTCTGAAAGTACAAAATCTATTGATTTTAGAGACATAAGTGGTACCTATCGTAATTTTTTTTCTACATTAAATGCCCTCGTAACTTTAACCGTTCCCGAAATAGCAATACTGTCCCTATGAAATAGTTGGGACCCTGTATACTTTCACAATATAATATATAATTTATTGGAAACAATGGAAACACATCATCATAACCAAAAATTTTTACTTTGTATCACATGACTAAATGACAAAAATTGTCTAATTTGATTGGCTACTAAACATATGACGAACAGTGGAAAATAAATCAGACTATAGAGTTTATTTAACGATTTATTTACAAATACAAAAGTTCATTTACAAAACTGCCAAGACGATTGGCATCGTGAATGTTCGAGTGCACTCTTAACGTTACAAGTGCTAATAATATTTCAATATTTTCTAATAATACCTCGATATTTTCTAATGATACCTCGATATTACCTAATAATACCCTACATAATATTTTCTAATAATATCTCGATATTTCTTCATAATACCTTATATTTCCCCATATTGTTATGTATTTCCTTATATTTCCCCTTCCTACCTAATATTTCCTTGTATATCCCCAAATCTCAGAATAATATAGTGTATGGAGTTTGGGGGATCTCCAAGGACCATTAGGACACAAAATCTCAACAAAGAAAAAATTGAAAATTAATCGTTTTAGTAAGAAGACCTATGATTTAGATTTTAGAAAACTTTGGAAGGTCATAACTTTTTTCTATTAAAGGTAGAAAGCTGAAATTTTCAGCGATTTTTATCCCAGTAGGGGACTACAATCCCTAAAAATTTCAGCTCATTTGTTAAGCAATTTGGGGTGATTTATATGAAATAATCGAGGAAATAATCGATTTTTCTACATCTGTTGGTGTTAAATGATTGGGTACATCATGAGATTCCTATCTGCTTTTATATTATTCTCCGCTAAGCAATTTTTTGGGGCCTCAACAGCCTTATGCTTGCATGGGATGCTGCAAATATGGCCCATTATTTCTCTCATTTATCTCAGTTACCTGTTTGCAATGTAATTTTTCTGGAGATAATAAATATTATTATTATTATTATTATTACCTATTATTAAGTATTTATCAATTTTTCTGAGTGCTTTTTTTCAAAGATTTTGGCTACAAATCTGAAAATAATTTAGTGTATGGAATTGAGGGACCATTAGGGCATGAAATCTCAACAAAAAAAAAATTGAAATTTCATCGTTTTAGATTTTGAAAAACTTTGAAAGGTCATAACTTCTTTTCTATTATAGAAAGAAAGCTGAAATTTTCAACAAATCTTATCCCTGTAGCAGAGCTGGGCAGGGCTTGAGGGCTTTGTGCTTGTAAAAGTGCTTGAAGCACTTTGAGGACTTGAAAGCCCTGTGCTTCAAGCACTTTTATATATTTGTAATTGGGGCTTGCAAAGTCAATTACATCAGAAAAGTGCTTGGTAATTTGTAATTGAAAAAAAGTAATTCAAGCCCTTTCAATGAGCTTCAATTACTTTTAGAGGGCTTGAAGCACTTTGAAAGGGCTTCAAGCACTTTGAAAGGGCTTGAAGCACTTTGAAAGGGCTTGAAGCACTTTGAAAGGGCTTGAAGCACTTTGAAAGGGCTTAAAGCACTTTAAAAGGGCTTCAAGCACTTTAAAAGAGCTTGAAGCACTTTGAAAGGAATTTTAATTGACCATCATTTAACCTATCCCCCACCAAAAAAGTTTGGATCGATGTGTTTTGTGGCTTAATTTTTTTTCTATTATTTGAACTAGGACCCTCCAATTTCTTTTCTTTATTATAATGGAGGTTTTGGGTTTGACCTTAGAAATGAATTTTAAAAAAATTAATGGGCTGATTGTTTAAATAAATAATTAATTTGTATAAGGTACCCTATTTAACTTTATCACTGGAATTTTTTTCATTTTTCCTCATTAAACAATTTGAAAACCTCAAAATTGAATTACCATTACCATTACCACTCAAAAAATAAAATTAAATACTACTTTAAATTTGTAAAATTTAAAGTTCATTTCTATTTCTACTATACTAATTCAACTGATGAGTGTATGCGCAGTAGTTTTTGCAACTTTGAGAATTGTATCACAAATTCAAAGTACTTTAGGCACATTTCAAGAGCTTCAAGCCCTTTTGAAGAGCTTCAAGCACTTTTGGAGAGTTTCAAAACCTTTTGAAGAGCTTCAGGCACTTTTGAAGAACTTCAAGCACTTTTGAAGAGCTTCAAGCACATTTAAAGAGCTTCAAGCACATTCAAATAGCTTCAAGCAGATTTAAAGAGCTTCAAGCACATTTAAAGAGCCTCAAGCACATTTAAAGAGCTTCAAGCACATTTAAAGAGCTTCAAAGCACTTTTTAAGGCACCCCAAGCACTTTTGAAAAGGGCTTGAAGCACAAGCCCTTTTCAAATCACTTTGAGGGCTTTGTGCTTTCCAAGCCCTAAGCACTTTGAGGGCTTTGTGCTTGTGAAGCACTTTTGAAAATAAAAAGGAATTTGTGCTTGGAATTGAAAGCACTTTGAGAAAGGGCTTAGGGCTTAGTGCTTCAAGCCCTTTCAGTGAGAGCTTTGCCCAGCTCTGCCCTGTAGGGGACTACAATCCCTGAAAATTTCAGCTCATTTGGAGAAGTAATTTGAAGGCAATTTGGAGTGATTTATCAATTTTTCAATTTTTCTGAGTGCCTTTTTTCATAGGATTTGGCTCCAAATCTCAGAATAATTTAATGTATGGAGTTTACGGGATCCCAAAGGAACATTAGGACACAAAATCTCAACAATAAAAATATTTGAAATTTCATCGTTTTAGTACTGAGGTAGCTACGTAGCTACCTTATGATTTAGATTTTCGAAAACTTTTGAAAGGTCATAACTTTTTTTCTATTATAGATAGAAAGCTGAAATTTTCAGCGATTTTTATTCCAGTAGAGCACTAGAATTCCTGAAAGTTTCAGCTCATTTGGACTTATAGTTCCAGAAATAAAATCGTGTTAAGCAATTTGGGATGATAATCAAGTTTTCAAACAAGTAAAGAGAATATTTTGTAACTTCTGAGATAAAAAGAATATGGTAAGGAGTTCATTATACAAAACTTTCAATTCAATCCAGTGGAAAACAGCAACAAAAGAAATTTATTAAAATGAACTGTAAAATCTTAAATTAGGCAAAAATGCACCTCTTCATATTTTGATTTTTTTCTGGAAAACTAAACAGGAAAATTTTGAAACTTTTGGGGTAAAAGGAGAGGAAATAGAGGCTCATTGCAGTAAAATTTTAAATTGATCCAGTGAAAAATGGCAACAAGAAAAATTCATGAAAACCAATTGAAATTTCATATTGATGCAGTGAAAACCAGAAACAAGAGAAATCAACTTTAAAAACTGAAATTATGCATAAATGCATCTTTTTACATTTTGATGATTTTTGGAAAAGCAGGAAAGGGAAACATTTTGAAACTTCTAAGATGCAAAAAAAAAGGTTAGAAGCCTAATAAAACAAAATTTCAAATAATTTATCCAGGGAAAAGTACAGAAACATAAAAAAACTCTTTGGCACTCACTTCATTCAACTTTCATTCTAGTATAGTGGGAAATAGTATTTTTGAGCTTCTCGAGTTAAATTTCAACTCAGAAGGTCAAGAGTTGTCTATAAAGCGCTCTGGCACAACTAGATGGATCAGAAATCCAAGTTTTGTACTCAGATAGTTTCATCTTGACTGTTAATAGAGCCAGGAATAGTTTTTTTTAATAAATGAATTTAAAAAGATATTTTGATGTTGAAGGAAAAATTTGGAATCTTTTTACTAGGATGAATGAAGAAGGGAAAGGAGTTTATTAAAGAGAAATAAAAGACCATAAGAAAAGGAGAGGACTTTGGAAGGGAAGGGATAGGGATCAAAGGTAAGTGAAAATTTGTGAAAAAAATAGAAAACCAAACTCAATATTAAGTATAGGTAATAATTCACTATTGAAATTTTTTCATAGATAAACTTTTTCTTTTCATAAAAGTACAATTTAATTATTTGGGGTTTTGTCCAAAATACTGCAGTGCTTCAGTGTTTCAAAATATTCCTAAAAATTTCAACTTGGATCTAAACCTATTAAACTTTAAAGTATCTCAAGCTTTCTTAAATGTTCCCAAAAGTTCTGGTCCATTTTAGAATGTTTCTAAAATTCCATTTTGAGCATTTTGGTTCTCAAGTGTTCTGTAGTGTGTGTTTGTCTCAAACAAATTCAGGAGGATTGAAAATTGAATTGAATCTCTTTTAAAGCTTATCAAAGTTCTAAATTTGTTCTAAACTACCTACTCTAGAGTCTAGAGTGTCTCAAAATGCTTGTTCCAAATTGGGACAAGCTAAGTGAAATTTTCTATAAGTTCAGAAGTGTTTTATAGTGTTCTAATATGTTCATGGAAGTTCTAAGTTAGGTCTAAAGTGTCATAATATTATAATTTTCAAGATATTCTAAAAGCATATCCAGTTCTATAGATTGTTTTCAAAAGTTCCATATGATTTTTAGAGTGTTCTATAGAGTGTTCCAAAATGCTGCTGAAAGTTTAGAGGTGTTCTATTGTTCTGTTCTAAAAATGTTTCTGAAATTCTAATTTGATTCTAAAGTGTTCTGTAAGGTTTTACAAAGTTCCAACTTGTCTCAAACAAATGCAGGATGATTGAAAATTGAATGGAAAGTCTTCTGAAGCTTATCAACGTTGTGAATTACTCTAGAGCGACCTCAAATGTTCTAACTTAGCCCACAGAGAAAAATCTGTATCTATTATCTACTATATGTGGTAACTTTTTTCGAGGTTATATTACGTAAACCTTTGTTTTTTCCGCAAAAATAATACTGGAAACCTACCTTTAGAGAATTCGCCATCACGTTCAAAACTTGCGATTGCATTTTCCTCAACGAAATTTACCCGCACTTACAAGCAAAATTAAATGAAATCTCTTTGAAACCTTGGGGCCCCAAATTTAAAAAAATTTTAAAGGACAAATATTTGACTTTGACATTGTGGCGAAGGTAAGTTCTGTCATATGATTGGAGCGTGATAAAAAAAAAAACATAGTTCGTTTGGTATGTGGCATCTTTTTCTTTTACATGCTCATAGAAAGAGATGCAATCTGATCACGTTCGGATTGAGTAATTTGGACGCATTCAGCCGACGTATATAATTTCTTAACCTAACTATTTTGTTTATTTCTAACTGTTTCCGGTAAATTTAAAATTTATATAATTATTATTATTTAAAAACAAAAAAACTTCAAATGTACAACCAATTTACAATTGCAATTATATTTTACTTTTCGAAAATTGTTTCTGCACATAATTTATTAGGAATAATACCAGTATCACCTCTTATAACAAACTCCCAATATAATCCTTATTGCTTGATGAACGAATGCTGCAATGATGAATATGTTAAATTTGATAGACACCGTAAGAATATATAACTATTCAGCAACAATTTCTAATTATTGTCATTTAAAGGTCTCATGAAAAACCTCACAGAAAATGTCTATGGACAACCTCTGCTCGAAACAGCTCTCGAGGCTTTAACAGCTCATTTCAACCCTTATTACACATCGCCAAAACCTTTAACTTTAAGTTTCCACGGTATGACAGGCACAGGGAAAAATTTTGTTTCAAATTTGATTGCAGATAGTCTATTCAGAAAAGGATCTAAAAGCCAATTTGTGCATCATTTTATTGGACGAATGCATTTTTCTGAAGTAAAAAATGTCTCAGAAAATATAGTAGGTTTATATGCTATGTTATATACAAATACATTATGTATTATTTTAGCAAAATTTATATCATTGGCTAACAAACAATATAACACAATGCCCCACTCAACTATTTATATTTGATGAAGTAGATAAAATGGTTCCTGAAATTATCAATTCGATAAAACCTTTGATAGATTATAATCACCAAGGTGTTGCATTTTCTCAATCAGTATTCATTTTCCTATCAAACATTGCTGCTGATATAATTAATGAACATTATCATGATTTGTTTATCAGTGAAGGCAAGGGAAGGGATGATTTGAAGCTGTTTGATTTTGAGAATCTTATCTCAAAAGGAGCTTTTAATAAAGAAGGTTTAATAGTTTTTTTCAGTTTTTGCATAGGTACTTAATATCAACTCTTAGGTGGTTTTTTCCACAGCGACACAATTTCCAATAACTTAATTGATCATTATATTCCATTTTTGCCATTGGAACAAAAACACATTGTCCAATGTATTGAGCAAGAGTTTAAGCTTAGAGGAGTAAATTCTCCAGAGAAAAAACACATAGAGTAAGGTCCTAAAAACAAGTAATTATATTTTTAATAAATTAATTTTTTTTTTCTCTAGTGAAGTTATGAAATTTATTGAATGGGGCCCAGACGAGTCCAAGCTATTTTCGAAAACAGGCTGCAAAAGGTTGGGCCCTAAAGTAGCTTCAATTGTTAGTAAATGGTACAGGCATGCTGGTCATTCCAAAGATGAATTTTGATATACATATACATATTTGTATTAAAGATTTAAAATCATAAAATTTGTTTTATTGAAATTAGAGACGATTTTTTTTTATCAACACAGTGTAACATTTATTTTATTTTTGTACAAACAAATTAACATAAATATCAGCTAGATAAAAATAACTAACAGTTAATATATAAACTGACCTAAAAAAATGAGGCAAGTTAAGAAGAGATCTAAAATAGGCAAGAAATTATAGTGCTGTATATACATATACAAATTTTGGGTAAAAGGAGAGGCATTGTATATAAATATGTATTATTCATTTTAAGCGTACATTAGGTCTATATAAATATCATTTAGAAGTTGTATAGGTATATAAAGGTAGTTTATGAAGCGTAAATTGCAGTTTGAGTATATAAATATGCATGTGCAAAAATATTTTCCACCCAAGATATGTATAAAACAAAATTGAGGTTTCAATTTTTAACTTACATTTACGTGTAGGTAAGAGCTAATTTTTAATACAGCAAAAGTACATTTTTCTTTTATTGCTACACACACTTTTCTCTAATGGAATTGATTGGTTTTGGTCAAAATTGTTTCAATAAATTTGTACTCAAATGGGTCAATTATTGCAACTAAATTTTGTTCCCAAATAATTTTGTTTTTGTATACATCAAGAATATACATTGGTAAATATTAGAGAGTCAAAATATAGGCTTATTTCCTAACTAAACGCTAAATAAATTAAGACTAGTAATCATACTACAAATAAAAAAAAATCACATATAATACCCCAAAATAACTCCTCACAAATCCCCATTTTCAATGGCCTTATTCAAATCATTAACCACACGACCCAATAACTCCCTATGATCGCTGTTGCTCCTGAAAATATTATCCAAAAATGTGGGATTTCCGAAAAACGAAAAAACACTTTCCACCCTGTTTATGGATTTTTCGGTCAGGTGCCTGCAAATTATGGACTGCAAGATTGTCTGGCACTCGTCCAGAATGTGAACGAGGTAATTGCGATCGTAGCTGTAGTCGACTTCGTAAAACGAAATAATTGTCATACCTATTAAAAAAATGGTCTTAGGGTTTTATTAATTAGTATATTATTACATCCTTACCGGCCATTCTGAATTTATTTTTGAATTTTTCTGCAAGTTTCATGTCTTCTTCCGATAATAAGTTGTTGCGATGTAATACTCCCAGCTTAATTACCACCTTTATTATGTTTTTGATTAGTTTTTCTGCTTCTTTTTTGTTGCTCGACTAATTTGAAACAAGATTATCAATACTAGATTAATTATAAATTGAATTTTACTTACATATTGTTTTGCCAATCGATACAAATTGTCCAAAAGTGAAGCGGTAACATCGTCAATGAAAACTTTCGCGATGTTTTTTCCTGCCATTCGGCTTAAGATTTTCTTTTGGGCCCTCAAGCCGATGTCTCTGGCTTTGAAGGTACTTTCCGTCATAACTGTAAAATTAATAATGATAAATACACTCATTTGTGTATACCTTGAGAATACATATTTGCATTTCCCAATAGCGATAAGAGCATTTGAAATCTTTTAATGACTAATAATTTTGCGGTTATTCATTCATCATGTTAAAAATATCTCGAACAATAGTTTTTTTTATCCCATAAATATTTGATTTCAAAACGGAAGTTCCACACGATTATCGAGTTGCATTGAAAATAGAAAATTAGGCCACTCACAGCGGAAGTTTTCTCATGCATTATCAATGTCTTCCAAAAATAGATTCTTTGATGAGAGAGTGAAAAATTCACTTTGATTATATAGAGGTTTAAAAATACACACAAATCGATTTTAGATTTGCAAGAGGTTCAAGGGCAAAGAAATATTCTGTATATTTTGGAACTATTTGACCTGATGGTTTTCCTATTTTGAAATAGTAACTTTCAATATACTGATAATAGGGGTTGAATCATAGAAAAATAAAAACAAATATAATAAAATTAAATAAACAAAAAATAAATAAAACATAATCTCACCTGATGATTCCTTCATCGAATGATATATAGTTCCAAAATAAATAAAAAAAAACTAACAAAAATGCAGTATTTGTGTTATAAATTCTAAAACAAAAATAAATAAAAATTAAAAAACAAAAATGTAATCTGGAATCAAATTCCCATGTTGAAATACTTACAAAGACAGTTCGAACATTCCATGGCGACATATTGGTAGATCAGCCAACTTTCTAATTCTACGATTGTGGTCATTATAGGGCAGTGTAGAGGATTTATAATAGACGGATTTTTATGTAGATCATCTGAAAACGAAAATAACTATCCATATGTGCAAACCAATAAAAATAAAGTTAATTGAAAAAGCATTTCCGTTTTAACTTAACACGTAATTAATTTCTACGTGTCTTATTTTGATGAATTTAAGCATGAATGAAATCCATTTATTTCATATAAGTACATACATTGTACAAAAGTTTCATTTTCATGTTTTTTAATATTATTTAATAGAAATATTGTCACGCATATTCGTGACACGTACATTTTTCACATGTAAATGAAATTCTAAAAAGATAATTTTCGCTTATATTTGCCTCGAAATTAATTCATTTCTGCTTGGAATTTATAATAAAGGCTCTCAATTATACATATGATAAAATGTGCAAGTGGCATTACTCGTGTTGAGCGAGATATTTATAGAAAAGCTTAATAACGAAATTGGCTTTAAATTGAACTTGATTATGAGCTTCCATTTAATGTAGAGGTGCAATTTATTATTATTAGACTGGTATCATCTGGTATATTTGAAAAATCATATATTTGTTTTCGACTTTTCAGATTGATGGAATAGGTAATAAAGTCTGTTTTTTTTTTTAAAGATAATTCCCCCAAGTCAAAAAGGATAACGCACACCTAACATGGGATTTTTGGGCTCTATGGATTTTGCCCATTTTTTGATATGTTGTAGAGGATTTAATTCTGAACAACCTTTAAATGGGACGAAATCTTGTAGGTATTACGATATTTAAGATATGAGCGTTGAAAGATGAACTTTTTTGCAACTTTTTGTGTGGAGAGTATACGAAAAACTGGTGTTTATCAGTCAAAATTTTGACAGGTCGACATTTTTCACGTCACTAACAAATGTCAACATAGGCTGAGGCCGCGACCGCACTGGCGCCAACATTGACCCCAGTGCGGTCCCGGCCTTAACCTAAGATGACATTAATTTTTGAGTGACGTAAAATATGTGACGTCCGTTTCCACCAACGCAAATTTAAGTTTACTTAACGTTAAGTGCCGCTTATATTATAGTTTCTTTTCCATCAGTCTAACCTAGTCTCATTAAGATAGGCTTAACTAAGCCCAAAAATGTCTAGGCTTATCCCTCCCTTAACAAAGTGGCGATGATAAGCGCAAGCCATTTGCATAATATATTTTTGTTGACATAACAAACCTTGAAATTAAATTGAGTTAAAATTGGAATTTTCTCAATTTTCTAATTTCAGAGATACTCCGTGTTTTTTTTATTTTCGATCATGTTCTTATTTTTTGATGTTAGCGATATTATTTTTTCCTTTATGGTATAGTTTGGTGTCCGCCTTTTTTTGGATAAATTCTCCCTGTTTGTTTCTATTCCCCGACTCCACGCTGCTCTAGGCACCTTCGTGCTCGTTCACACACAATGCAGGATAAACTACCAATATCTTAACCTCTTCTCTGTGGAATAAACCGAATCCGGACACGACTAGTGTAAAAACTAAAAGTACGCAGATATTTCACCTGAAATGCAATGTTGCCAAAGCTTTACGACACTTACCTAAGCTTGCACTTAAAAACTATGGTGGAACGAAATGACATTTGAGTGTCCCTTAACTTTTAAGGGCCTCATAGTTAAGTAAAGCTTAGCTATAGTTTGGTGGAAATGGCCATGAACCTGTCAATATTTTGACTGATAAACACCAGTAGCACCATCAGTATCTCGTATACTCTCCACACAAAAAGTCGCAAAAAAGTTCATCTTTCAACGCTCATATCTCAAAGACCGTAATACCTACAAGATTTCGTCCCATTTGAAGGTTGTTCAGAATTAAATCCTCTACAACATATTAAAAAATGGGCAAAATCCATAGAGCCCAGAAATCCCATGTTAGGTGTGCGTTATCCTTTAGTAACTTTGTTGGCAACACAAGCCTTTCTATACACAAAAAATTTGAAAGCTTTGACAATTTTACATTGCATTGCCAACATAATGTCATTTTGACTTTTATCTTAAAAAAAAAACAGATTTCAGGTCTGTTTTTTTTTTAACCAGTGAGAGTGAATTTCATTAGTTGAAACTAGTTTTCTGACTGTTTCTGACTATTTTCAACCAATGAAATTTGCTCTGATTGGTTTGTGATTTCTGCAGAAACAGACCTAATGACTACTTCATCTCAGGTTAGTATTAAAAAAACTACTTTATGCACTGGTGCGTGACATTTTATGTCTTCTAAAAGGTGCGTAACGTAAGTACTTTACGCGCGGTAGTGGAAAAAAACAATTATTGCGCCTTCATTTACAGTCGGGAATGAGATGCAGGGCCGTAGCCAGGGGGGGGCATTGGGGGGCAATGCCCTATTTTTTAAAGGATGACGCCCTACCTTTGAAAATCAACATACATTAAGGTTTCTTTAAAAATTTTAAGAGTAGATGAGATGATGCCTGAAGTAGATAGGTCTGAAATCGATTAAGCGAGGATGAATGTTTCCGAAAATGCCTAAGGGTGGGTATTATAATACTGCTTTGACAGTTAACTTGAAGTTAACTTTTCGAATACTCGTATTTTCAGAAGTTTAACTTTAAGTTAACTCTCAAAGTAGTTTTATAATACCCGCCCTAAATCTAATGAACAATGTTTGACGTTTGCACAGTGGAAGTTTTTTTTTTATTTGAAAGAGTGCGAATGGCCCAGGTGGCTGGCGCGAAAATACGCGCCATTTTGTTTACTTGCCCAGAGATGTTATTTATTGCAAGGTTGTTTGATAAAGGCGAGAGAGGTAGGATGCCTGGGCTGGAACTCTGTAACGAATAGAGATATTTTCTCTATCCCTATTGAGGACCCCTCTCTATTGATTTCGAGAAGAGAGAAGAAGATCTCTATACGTTACAGAGTCCCAGCCCTGGCAACTTTATGACGTCATCTGGGGTGCCTCAACATAATGCAAATCTCTATAAGGTATCCCAGATCAGAGACGTCATCAAGTTACCTATTACCCAAGAATCGTAAACTCTACAGTATTGCTCAATCCCATAAGACATACCTACGTTCATAAAAATATCGAACATGGAGGTATGCAAGTGACGTCACGCAGTCCTTGATCGGTTTGTTTTTTATTATGACAGTGTGCATTCTCAAACGTGAAAAATTGTTATTTTTAAGTTTATTTTCTTTGAAAACTGTGTTTTTTAAATTTAACAGACTCCAAAAGTTTGTATGCTTGAGTCGTTAGCTAATTACAAAGACGAGTTTGTTTGTTCTCTGCTTATCAGCAAAATACTCACACTCACATAAATATTATATCAAATAAATGTGCATGCATTTTTTTTACCTTTTTTTAGGGGCAACGACAACAAGAAGCAAGAAGGTACATTTATAAAATAGATTATGCCTGGAATGAGATGTGCTGTGCTGTGTATGGGTGTTATAACAACTATTTTGATCAAAAAGCAAGCAGTCGAAAATGTAAATTTCATCGCTTTCTTAAAGGAAAAGATCTTGTATCTAAAACTATTCAAAACGAGTGGATAGTTTTTTGTAAAAGAAAGGACAAACTGAATGCAGATACATTTTTTATGGACATTCAAAGCTTATCTCACAAAGCCAAATAGTGATACCTAATTTATATTTTCATAATCAGAATCCAGAAAAACACTAAACACTGCAAGTTTTCCATAGTAAACGCGCCAGTAAAGAAATTTATTTACATATTTATTCATTTATTTACTCTTCACAAACACTAATTTCCAGTAAGAGTAATTACATGCAAAGGAAACTTACAACTAAGGGTGGGTATTATAAAACTACTTTGAGAGTTAACTTAAAGTTAACTTCTGGAATTACATGCAATTCAAAAAGTTAACTTCAAGTTAACTGTCAAAGCAGTTTTATAATACCCGCTCTAAGTAGTTATTTGATTTACAAAAAAAAAAAAACAATACAAATAATTACTTGACTAGGAAATACCAGCAGTAGAAAACTAAGCAATACACACGAATTAAAGAAAGCTATGTCCTGATGCAACAAATCCAGTATTACAAAACCACTAAAACCAGAAAATGTTTGGGGTTTCCGCGATTATTTCCAGCGATGAGTCTTTTATGCTTACACACATCAAATGAAACTTTAAATTACACTTATAACATTTGATAAACTTCGAATTTACGATAAAATAATTCTCAGCGCAAACTCAACAATCATTTGTATCGGCGGCCATCTTGAAAGTCAGGTATGCACGTGACGTCACGGCACTTGTGAACAAATTTAGCCGATTGAGTAATGCTGTAAAGTTTACGATTCTTGCCCATTATACCATACGACCTGAACCTTGATTTATTGAAAAATTTGCCTTCGGCGCCATTAGCCCCATTTTGTTCACCTATAAAAAAAATTTAACGTGGCGGGGGGCAAGTAGAGTATGCCCTATGTCAAATGTATCATGCCCTATCTTAAATTTGACTCTAGCTACGGCCCTGATGAGATGTTGTATCCATACTTATACAGGGTGGTCCATTTAAATTGAGACAGTTCAATATGTCGAAAATGACGCGTTTTTGAAAAAAAAAAGTTCAATAATGTCTTAAGTTCAATGGCCCACCTGTATACCTATTTCATATCGTGTCCTAGAAACTTAAAATTACCAATTTTTCATTGAATATGAAAATTTTGCGACTAAATAAAAGAAAAAGTAGTCTGTTTTTTTTTTTTGAAGATAATTCCCCAAGTCAAAAATTTAGTAACTATGTTGGCAACACGCAAGCCTTCTATAATAATAATAATAATAATAATAATAAAGTTTATTTACTAAGTTTACAATAGCAAGTTTACAGTGGAAAAAACTTACATCTAGCAAATAAACAATAATCACAGAAGCAGAAATTAATCTGCTTGTACGTGATGTAGCTATCTATTATCTATATTACTTACTTTAAACTATACTTAAATATAATATACTCAGCTATCATCTAAATTATTAAACATACCTATCTTAAATTAAGATATCTATCTTATTGATTGAGATTCTTAATCATTTCTTTTTCAAGAATGAAAACACAAATCGGGAAAAATCTGTTTAGTCTGGTTTAACATTGTCAACATTGGGTAAATATGCCAAAATCATGTAAAACAGTCAAAATCGGGAGTTTTTTTAAATTTTAGTTCATATATAAATTACATATTAAAAGTAGGTACACATTATTTAATTTTGTTATCTAAGTATTTCGTGAAATGTTTGTCGTCCTGTCTGTTGAATCCATTTTTTTATAAGAACTTTTATTTTATTTTTTTGTTGGAATTTTTGTTTAAGATTTTCAGGTAAAGCATTATATAATTTCGGAGCATAATATGATATCTTTGACCAACCGATTTTTGTGTTTTTGTTGGAACTGCCATTCTATTTCGAGCTCGTGTGGTGTAGGAATGTGCAGGGTATTCAATTTTAATTTTTTCTTTATGAATGTTCATTAATATATTTTGAACGTCTAATATCCAATATGCCCGATATTTGATAAAGTTCATCTGAAGGAAACAATCGCTTTTTTTGGTATATTATTTTCAAAATCCACTTTTGAACAATTTCCATAGAGCCAATATAATAGTCCCTAACACCACCCCATCCACAGAGCCCCGTATGTTAGTTGCGATTGTATAAATGAAAAATATAGCGTCCGAAGGTTTTGGATGTCCAAAAAATCTTTCAACCGTCTGAATTTCGAGATGAAGAATCGTAATTTTTTGGTTACCTCGTTGGTATGAAGGTCCCATTTTAGATGCCGATCTAATGTGATTCCTAGATATTTTATTGAATTTACTTCTGGTATCAACATGTTTTGGTTTATATTAAGGGAACCAAGGTGTGGCAGACCACTGACATAGGACGCAAAACTCAAATATTTTGTTTTTGCTACGTTTAGCGATAGTTTGTTTGCAGCAATCCATTTAGCAATTCTTAAAAAATCCATTTCAACAGTCGGTTTAAGGGTTTGCCAAGAGTTACATAATAATTTGAAAGCATCGACAATTTAACATTGTTTTGCCAACATAATGTCATTTTCACTTTTATTTTAAAAAAAAAACGGACTTTAAAAATTTCGCTTTTTGCTTTTACCCTTTTGCGAACGAAAATAGAAAATTTCCTCAAAAAGACAAAAAGGGGATAATTCCGTCAAGTTGGCAACACTGTGGCTGACTCGTTATCAACGGCAAGGATATCAACAAAGCATTGGTAGGTTAGATCTAAGCCCCGCCCCTTTCCAATCAGATGCGAGTGATATCGGCAGGGCATTCAATTGGTTAGTTGAGCCCCGCCCCTTTCCGGGGTTTATGTATCGTCAAGGTATTTGATTGGTTGTTTCCTTTTCAACCCTTTCCAATGGCCCCGGCCCACCTACAGTGACTTCACCTTTTCAAATAGAAATTCGGTATCGCCGCCATATTCGTGCAAATTTTGAATATAAATATAGAAGTTAGCCACGCCCCCGCCGTCATATTTTTGCAAATTTTTGATGTTTACTCAGGTAATATTATTAATATTATTATTATCTAAGTATAAGTATATTTATTTATTCTTTATTTTTCAATTTTTCCATCTCATATTTTGTCTATTCCCGGATCTTGAATTATCGTTTTCTTCTTAATTTTTCTAATGACCATTTCCACCAACTATTTTAGGGAAGCCTTAACAATAGGTATGCCTTAAACTGACATTTCTCCATGTATAAATGTCATTTTAGGGAATACTTATCGTTAGGGCTCCCCTTAAATAGTTGAGGTTTATAATGCGTGATGCGTGAGGTATATAATGACTTTCTCTACCGAGAAATAGATTTTTTTTTACTACTGCTAGGGCGGGTTTGGTTTTAACTCCAGGGTTAACGTGTTAAATTGCAATGTTTACCCTGGAGTTAGTTTAACCCGGAGCTGACCTGCTATATTGAGAAACCGGCTCCTAGTGAAAAATGAATAATTTGTAATATGTGCTTTAATTATTTTTTTTTAACGCCCTCTTGAAAGTGGTGTTTTCTATCAACAGCTTATGATAACTTCCTATGTACCTACAGAAACCTGTATCTTTTTTATTATTTGACGTATGAAATTGAAATTGAACCAATAAAAACATGACAATATCCTTGCGTCATGACGTCATTTTCATTATTAACCTAGGTATTTTTTCATTATTAACCTAGGGAGAGAAATTCAATTTTTTCCTAGAAAAATAGATTGAATAATGACTATTTTTCAGGTTAGTAGTAAAAAAATCCATTATCGACGTCAATGATCGTTTGGGTATCATTAGGTATCTTCAGATAACTTTTGTCCAAGAGTTGTAAAAAAAGATGGCTGATTTCATTCATATAGGTATAGGATATTTGGCCAATACCGACTACCGAGACGTAATCAATCATCATTTGTTTTTCCTTTGAGATGAATAATTAATTACTCATATCTTAATTATTATCTGAGCAAATTGTCTTTAATTCTTATGAACTAATTGTTAGCTGTAAAAATTTATCAAAAAATCAAGTTGAATATTTTTTACAGTCTCAATAAGAAGCTCGATAATTCTTTTGAATAGTGGCACGAGCCATATAAGAAACCCTTATAAAGAAAAACCGTTAAAAACTTAAGGAGGGTTAAATTTTACCTTCACCTGGCCTCCTTATAATATAACAGATGTTCTCATATATAATGTGTTTGTATAGAATATCTTATTGACAGTTACAAAGAGAATAATTTTTTATCAAAATTCGCTTCGCTTCCTAGACTGTTAATAGCTGTATTTAATAAGTAAACCTACTTAATCTATTTTGGCCTACTTTAATTAAGTAATATTGATTTAAAGATTTTATCTATTTGAATCAATATTTTGCTCTACATAAAGATCAAAATATGTAAAATTTCCTAATTAATTTTAAATGCAATTATCTCATTGTCTGGGTCATATTATATTATAGACGCCAACCAAAAAAAAGGTGGGCGTCATGGTCATACCTATATTATTGGATCATTTCCTTGTAATTTAATGCTCAAAGGATTGCAAATACATATCATTATTAGAGTAATTACCATATAGAAATGAAATTCTAGAGCCTGGAAATAATATAAATTCCATTGTTCATTGTCTATACAGCTAATAAGTTTTATACTACATGAATAATTTAACACACAAAAATAAATAAAAGTTCTTGTGTTTTGAACTTGACTGCGGTAAAAGGATGAGATCATATAATATTATAAAACCCACCTTGTCTTGTACGACTTGACCTCTAAAGGAATGTATAAACTTTGAATATTTTCTCCTCTTCATATATTGTGGTAGAGGAATGCCATAACGACATTTATATGTAAGTAGTATGGGACAATAATTTTTTTTTTGAGGGTGTTATACAGCTAATATACAACAAATAATATATTTGATTAATTTCAAATTAAAAAGAAATTAACTTATGTATTATTATTATTATTGCATGTAGGTATTATCCAACTGAATAGGCACATACTTATATTGTTACAAAAAAAAATTATTCAATTAATTAAAAATTTCACACGTCATCAAAATGCATTATTAAGTATTCGATTGCGAAATTCTTTATTATTAGGTATTGAATTATTAAAATTAAAACTCCACTCACCAATTTTTCAAAATCAAATTTTTCGCGCGCGGGGTTGCTATGACAACGCAAAATGAAACACTATTTTTATTATTCACTGAGTAGGATTTTATTGACGTTTTAATTAAGTGTCTTTTTTTTTCGTATTTTCACTTCAAGAAAACAATTTAAAAAGAATCGGAACTTAAAAGGTGAAATTATTGCCGAAGGAATGACCGAGCGGATCTACAGAAGTGTAGGAACAAATTAAATGAAAAAAAAAAATCGTATGTGTGTTAAGGCTCGGAGCGATTCTCGGGTGGGGAAAAACCGATTATTGCGCCAAAAGCGAGTTTGCGCACGATAAAAGTGTAGTTTTGGCTTTAGTTAGGTCGATATTTGATTCTGCGTTATGTTTATCGATACTGATACGAAGTTTCTTCTTTTTCATATCAATATTGGATATGAGGAAATATCGATAGGTGGGTACGATATTTTTTAAACTTCTTGGGAAATAAAAGCCCCTTCTTGTATGTCTACTGCTCGTTTGTTTCACAATTTATTATTTTGAAACATTTTTTTCCGTCTCAATTCTTATCTATTCCCGGCTTCTGTATTTTCGTTTTTTTTTTTCTAAATTTTTCTAAATGAAGAAAATTTAAAAGCTTGAAATAGAAACAAAATACTTTGTGTATCTACCAATTTCTTCTCAACTTCTCTTGAATTCATTTCTCATTTTTTTTCTGGTCAATTTTTGTTTATTTCCAGCTTTTGATTTTGTGGGAATCTTCAAATAAGCCTGGAATAAAAAAAACATGAATCTCTTCTTATCCACCAACTATATATTTCTCAATTTTTTTTACATTTGTCCTCTATTTCTCAATTTGTATCTATTCCCGGCTCTTGAATTTTCGTTTTATTTCTTCTAAATTTTTAAAAATAGAGAAGATTTAAGAGCTTGGAATAGAAACAAAATAGTGTTTTGGAGCTTCTTAAAATGAATAAATTTATTCCAGAATGCTTTGAAGCGTTCTGAAATGCCTGAAGCCTCGTTCTCAGAACTATGTAATTTCCAGTGGCGGCTCATCAGAGGAGGCAGGGGAGGCTAAACCTCCCCCAACAAATTGAAAATTCAATCTCAATTTTTTATTCCCGATTTCTAATTAAAATAATAATTCACAAATTACACAACAGAATTCCAATTTTCGATATTTCAATGTAATTTAGAAAAATCTGACAACATTATTTCAATCAATCTGGGATACTCAATAATACGAACCCGAAGGGCTGGAGTAATATGAGCCCGAAGGGCTAGAGTTATACGCAACACCGAAGGGCCGGAGTTATACGCGAGCCCGAAGGGCCGGAGTAATATGAGCCCAAAAGGCCAGAGTTATACACGAACCCGAAGGACCGGAGTTATACGCAAGTCTGAAGAACTACAGTTATTTTAATCACGGGGCTCAGTCTATAATTCCATTGGTCAGCGGATAATTTAGAGCCAATTAAAAATCGGGAGTATTTAAAATGCGATTTTTAACGTCCAATCAAAGAGCCAAGAATATTCAAAAACCTTAGTTTTATCAAATTGACTTTGGAATGTTGTTTTTTTATGGGGTTTCCTTAAGATTTTTACTTTTTTCAGAAAACGGTGATTTTTGCAAACATATACTAACTACTTCATTATTGTCTTTGTCTTACTCACTATAATCAATAAGGAAACCTCGTAATGTCATTTTCATTGAAATTAAACTAAAAACAAGTTTCCGATGATTTATTTGGGGAATTTTAATTATTAGGTATAATCATTATTAATTAATTATTAAATTGAATTTTAAACAAAAAACCCTTTTAAAATGTTATTTTTATTTTCCGAAATGAGATGTGGCAACGTTGATTTTAGTCGGCCATTTTGAAGTGACGTCTTGTGATTTTTTGTCAGTTTTTTTCTCGAATTTTCGACTTTTCCAGGGTTTTTTAATGGAAAAAAGCGATTTAACATACGAGGCTTTGAGTTTTCTTCATTTTCTGCTGAAAATTTCCGGGGTAAGCAACAAAAATTTTAGTTTTAACAAGTAGGCTTTACAATGTAATTTTTAGAGGTTTTTCTCTAGATTTTCCGCCGTTCTAGGGTTTTTTCGGTCGGGAAAACCGATTTAAAGTACGAGGCTTCGAATTTTCTTCATTTTCCACCAAAAATTTCCAGTGTTTTAACGGGGTAAGTGAGAAAAACTTTAGTTTTATCAAGTAGGTGTTGGAATGTCATTATCGTTGATTTTTTTTTTTTGAATTTTTATTTAAGGTTTTTGAGGTCCGGGGATCGTTTTCTACCACTTTTTTTTCTCGAAATTCGCAAAATAAAAAAAAAAACTTTTTTGACGTTGACAGCTGTCAAATTTTTTTGACACAAATCGATAGTTGGCGTCGTGAAACTGCCTTGTACCGGGATTTGATTTTCGTAGCTTTTATAGTAGAGCAGGGAAAAAGTCAAACATGTGTCAAATTTTGACAGGTGACATCTATATATTGCCAAAGTGTCGTGCGACAAAAGTTTTATCCAAACGAACCCGTTCATTGTTAATTAATTCTAATACTCCGGCCCTTCGGGCCGTAATCTTTGAAAGAAAAAAACGTCATTTTGTATCGATTGTCGAAAAAATCCAAGGTTTGAAATTTCAATTTTTGACGTTTGTTGTATCATGAGCAGTGTTGCCATGTGTTTTTTTTTTTCAAATCTCGATTCTGGAAGGCTGAAGTTATCTCAATTATAAGCTTAAAAGGCCGAAGTTATACGAGTCCGAAGGGCCGGAATTATGCAAACCCGAAGGGCCTGAGTTATACGAGCCCGAAGGGCCGGAGTTATACGAACCCGTTGATTGTTAACTGATTTTAATACTCCGGCCCTTCGGGCTGTAATTTTTGAAACAAAAAGACGCCATTTTATATCGACTGTCAAAAAAACCAAGGCTTACTTTGATATTTTTTTGACGTTGTATCATGAGCAGCGTTGCCATATGTTTTTATCAAATCTCGATTTATAGGTTATTTTAAACCCAATCATTGACATTTCTGAAAAATATTTCCTTAAAAATTCCCAAATATCCTTTGGAATCCCCAAAAATCTGTTAAAATCTTAAAATTCCATAATTAAGTGGAATTTCGATAGAATAATTTGCGGAGTTTCCATAGAATTTACATTAAATTTTAATTCCTCTGGAATTACTTCAAATTTCAGTGAAATTTCGATCGAATTATACGAAATCCTAAATGAATTACATGGAGAAATTTTAAACAATTACATGAAATTACACCTAAATTCCCAACATGAAATTTCAGTTTTTACTGAATTTTATTAATGCCGAGGAGTTTTCAGCTAAAAACGTGGAATTTCGGTGATATTTTGAAAAATTACCATGAAATTTCAATATATTTCGATGAATTTGTAAGAAATTACTTGAAACTTCATTAATATTCCCAGAAATTCCTGGCAATTAAAAGAGAATTTCAGTAAAATTCCGAAAAATTCTTATGAAAATAAATTAAATTTTGAAAATTCCTTGAAGTTTTATTGGACTTTCGAGAAATTTTCGGTTTTGAACGTGGATATTCTCATAAAATTTTAGTGACTGATATTTTTAAGAAATTACATGAAATGTCAATGAAATTTCGTAGAATTTTATGAAAATTTTGTGGAATTCCAAGATATTTCAGTGGTAAAATTTTGAGGAATTTTAGTAAAGTTAAAAAAAAAATATGGATTTTTGAAATTGAATTCTTAGTAGAATTCCGAGGAATTCCATAAAATCTTCTAATGAAATGTTAAGGTATTTATTTGCATGGAATTATTTAAAATTTTCGCGGAATTCCCATGGAATAACTTAAAATTTTAATGGAAAACTTTGATGAATTTTCGAAATTGTGTCACAAATTCATCCGAAATTCACGAAATTACTGCGAAATCTCTTCGAAATCTTTCAAAAATCTTTCCGTAAACCCAATTGGCTCAAAATTCATAAATCATAATCACTGAAAGTCTTTAAAATCTTTTAGCCTCCTCACTTGAAATAGTCACGAGTCGCCACTGGTAATTTCGCTAGCGACACCTCGGTAACTAGGGTTTCTATACGTCCGGATTTACACGGACATGTTTGGGTTTTTAGGGTGTCCGGGGAAGTCCGGCCGGAATTCGGAACAATGTCCGGAAAACTCGGAGATCGTGAAAACAACCTTAAATATTATACTTTTATAATTTCAACTCCCTATATAGATCGGTAACGAAGCGTTTGCGGACCTATGTTTATTAAAAATTTTAGTCATAGAATAAACCAAAGGTAGGTACCGTGCGTAAAGTGCTCACTTTACGCACTATTCAGAAAACGTAAAAGTTCACTTCACACATTATAATGCGTGAAGTAATGTCGACAGATGTCGACACTGTCAATTTAGTATCTTTCTAGTAAATTACTTCACTAGTGCGTAAAGTATTCTCACTTCACGCGATTAAATTTATTTTTTAAACATATTATATTGGTAGTAGAATTTTTTTTGTAGGTATGCAATACGCGTGTAAAGTGTTAAGCTTCATTCTCAGTTGCGCAAAATTCGCTCTTTTTTTTTGACATTGCTTTGACAATTTGTCGTTTTATGCGTGTATCAAACGTCGAATTGTCGAAGCAATGTCAAAAAAAGAGCAAATTTCACGTTAACTGTAAAGCAACTTTTTTCACTCAAATGTGATTGTCAAAATTCACATTCGTTAAAAAAGCTTCACTTTACACACTTGCTAAATAAATAGCTATTTTCTAATACCGTGTGTAAAGTACTCACTTTACACGTACACTATTCAAAAGATGATAAATTTAACTTCAGGCACTAGTACGTGAAGTAATTCACTTTACACACTTTACATACTAATGCATGGAGTATAATCAAAGAATATTAGTTGCATTAGCTAGGTATAATATTCTTTGGTATAATGCAATGACAGATGTCGACACTGTCATTTTTTTCTAGTAAATTACTCCAGTATACGCATTAGGGTGTAAAGTAGGTATATTTGTCTAAATTTATTTTTTATACATATTTTATTGGTAGTAGGAAAAAAAAATAATGTGCAATAGGTACCTACGTGTGTAAGATGAACCTTTATTCACGGATATGAATTTTGAAGGCGAATGCGACAATCACGCATGAGTGAAAAAAGGTTCACTTAATACACTTGTTGCATAAATAGCTATTTCGGCGAAGTCCGGATTTTGTCCGGATTTCTTGACTTCTTTGTCCTGAATTCCGGAAAACTGTAATGGAAACCCAATCGGTAACCAATAGGAATCAAACATTCAATAGAAGATTTCATTTTGACTGACTTTGGCAGAAAGTCGACAAACAAAGTCACCTAACCTATAAATAGCAACGTTAATGTTATTAGTTTTTCATATTTTCAATGTTTTGTTTGTCGACCCGTCTATTATGACAGACGTTGCTTTTGACAGTCTCGCACATGCGTCATGCAGACGATGAAAGTTTCTATTGACAGCTCTATTCCTACTGGTTACCGAGATGTCGCTCGGGACACTACATAGTTAATAGCATGGCTGGCAATATGAGCGTAGTTATTTAATTTACGTGCGCTGGTCTAATAGGGAACGCGACGTCGGATATAATTTGACAAGTCCTAGTCCTATAAGAGTAGCGCACAATGTAGCGGTAGTCAAAGTGCGCTGGCCTAATAGGAAACGCAATGCCAGATAAAATTTTACAAGTCCTAAAGGATTAGCGCTCATGTAGCGGTAACCAAATAGGAAACGGAAAAATGCCGCCGGGTCAGCTAGTTAATAATACAAATCCCTAAAATGACATTTTTATATGGAGAAATGTCAGTTTAAAGAATACTTACATAACTGCGAAATTCGCACTTTTTTGACATTGCTTCGACAAATTGACGTTTTATGCGTGAATCAAACGTCAAGTTGTCGAAGTAATGTCAAAAAAAGCGAATTTCTCGGTTATAAGTAATAGGCTTTGCGAAATTCGCATTTTTTTGACATTGCGTTGACAATTTGACGTTTTATGCGTGTATCAAACGTCAAATTGTCGAAGCAATGTCAAAAAAATGCAAATTTCGCAGTTATGAGTACTAGGCTTAAGACCGTTGATGGAAGGAAGTACACCTCCTTCAATCAACGGTAAAAGCAAGTATAGTCCGTTGCATGGTTCTTGAGCTACGACTACTGAATAGACAGAGGGAACAATGGGCTATTGCTGCGTTGTCATATCAATAATATTTATTATTACATGAAAATGAAGGAATTTTTATTGCAATTTTCATGTATTAATAAATATTATCGATATGACAACGCAGCAATAGCCCATTGTCCCCTCTGTCTATTCAGTATTCCGTAGCCGTAGCTCAAGAACCATGCAACGAACTTTACCTATGCATAAAGCAAAAACTGGCGGAATCATCATATGTGGTGCAAACAACCTTCCATCACGCGAAAGGCTTCAGATTTGTTCCACACAGGCCTTATGAGGATAGGCAATCGCTGTAGTAGTAGTGTGTATTATCCTTGATTATTATCCGCCATATTGATATTTTGAGATTTGACATTCAAATTATGCAATGTTGCCAATTGCACTGTTGCCAATTCGGCACCTGTCATCCGCTGCCTCTCTCGAAAAAAGGGGTTTCTAAAAATAAAAAAGGGGCTCTAGAGACAAACAAAAAGACCCACGACGATGGCTTCTCAATTTTTCAGAAAAATTGTAAGTAATTGTTTATAATCTATAACGAATTTTGCATGTCGTTTCGAGTTCAATCAATACTTGTTTGGTGGGTGTTTTACATTGAAAACTTGAAAAATGTCTGGTTTTTTTAATGGCAGAAGCATTAGCGAGCTATTCGGTGGATTGTTTAAGTTTTTAAGCAAAAATCCTCATAAGGAACCAACCAAAAACCTTAAAATTGTAAGTGTTATATAACCCACGAAAAGTTTTCTAGGTTATGTCACATGCTACATACAAATTTATTTATTTATTCAGGTTTCAAATAAGCCACTAGGCTCAAGACTGTATAGCGGCGAAGTAAAAAAATGCACCCTTATCCCTGGAGACGGTATCGGTCCTGAAATTTCCAGTGCAGTTCAAAAAATCTTCGATGCAGCCAAAGTACCAATCGAATGGGAACCTGTGGATGTTACCCCAGTCAGAGGCCCAGATGGTAAATTCGGAATACCACAAGCTGCTATTGATTCAGTTAACAGGTATAATGTTTCTGAAAAATAATTAATAATTGATTCATTAATAAAATGTTTGTAGAAATCAAATTGGCCTTAAAGGGCCCTTAATGACACCCATAGGAAAAGGACATAGGTCCCTTAATTTAGCTCTAAGAAAAGAGTTTAATTTGTATGCTAATGTAAGACCATGCAGAAGCTTAGAAGGGTAAATGAAAATATTTTTAATAATATTTCTTCAATTCATATCCTCAACATTGCAGCTATAAAACTCTCTATGACGATGTAGATGTGGTAACAATCAGAGAAAACACTGAAGGAGAATATTCTGGTATTGAGCACGAAATTGTAGATGGGGTTGTGCAAAGTATAAAATTGATTACTGAAGACGCTTCTAGAAGAGTTGCTGAGTTTGCTTTCCAGTATGCCAAAGAGAACAAACGGAAGAAGGTCACTGCTGTACATAAAGCCAACATCATGTAAGAATTATCAATATGGGAATTTATGTGTGTATTTAATAAAAATTATTGTTTAAGGCGTATGTCAGATGGTTTATTTTTGCGCTGTTGTCGTGACATGGCCAAAAAATACCCAGATGTGAAATTTGAAGAAAGATATTTGGATACTGTATGCTTAAATATGGTACAAGACCCTTCAAAATATGATGTACTTGTAATGCCCAATTTATACGGAGACATTTTATCTGACATGTGCGCTGGTCTTGTAGGAGGTCTTGGTTTGACACCCTCTGGAAATATTGGATTAAATGGAGCCTTATTTGAATCTGTAAGTTATTGTATCAATTGAATGCTTCATAATTAAACATTTTTGATGTTTAGGTTCATGGTACTGCTCCTGATATAGCTGGACAAGACAAAGCTAATCCTACAGCTTTGCTTCTTTCAGCTGTTATGATGTTGAGGTATATGCAATTGAATCCTTATGCTGATAAAATTGAAAAGGCTTGCTTTGATACCATTAAAGAAGCTAAATATTTAACAGGTAAAGTCTCAGATACCTATTTATATATTTATAATTGCTAGAAATGTGTTTTTCTAGGGGATTTGGGTGGTAAAGCAAAATGTTCTGAATTCACCAACGAAATTTGCAGCAAAATTTCTCAGTCGTAATTTTTAGGCAGCAATTTGTATAACTTAATAATCAGTATTAGAATCAGCAAGTTACCATCGTTCAAATACTGTTTAACCATTAAAAAAAAAAACAAAATATTTATTTTTAAGTTTTCTAGTGCTAATGGAAAAAATGTCCCTAAAAAGTTTTAGTTTGATTGATTATCTTGTTCTCCTAGGTACTACCTCAAATTAAAATTTAGATTTTGATAATTGGAAATTTGGATCATTTTTCCAATCAATATTGAAGAAATTTTCAAAACAACCTACCAGTGTATATAAGAATATTTATTACAATTAAATAGGAATAAAATCTAAATTATTATTATTTAATTGTTTTGTTTGAAAACAATAATAATGTATTTAAGTATGTATTAAGAATTATTTCGTTGGATGTGACTTTTATGTTTTATTTAATTTTTGTTGTATTCTCATGCATACTCATAATAAAAGTAGACAATTGGTATTTATTAATTATACAGTCAGACGCAAAATATTTAGAGTCTGAGGCACGAGAACTTTCTATTTTCTTCATTATGCATAAAGCAAAAGCCTGCGGAACCATAACCAGTGGTGCAAACACTACGCTTAGGTGAAAAACGACATGCTGCCTACGTCATCATTGGTGCTTTGTCATGGTGGGTGAGATTGAAACTTGAACTCTACAGTACAGGCCTTGTGGAGGATAAGCTATCCTGTAGTAGCAGTGTATATTATCTTTGGAACTCTGCGAGACAACCGTAGCGAGTTTCTGCAAGATAATTGTACTGTTCTATATGGTCGATTAATGGAATTACACGATTACATACTTGACAATTTTATCAGAAGGCGAATAAACCGCCCCTTTATATATTTATCTGAACTGGAGAAATTATTATCAAGTATCAGCTATTCGACTCCAACAGTTCTCATATGTTCGGGCTTGGTTCAGGTTTACTTTGCTCTCTATACTCTAGAGTAGTTCATGTAACAAAAAACTGCTCTCTTTCCACTCCAATCGATTAAAATGTTAAAAGCCCCTATAAATTGGCAACGTCAACAAAAATAAATAAACAACAGAAAAATGATAAATTGGGAGTTTATGAAAAGGAAAAACTTTTAAGAAATTAAACAGTGAAGTCTCAGGTAATTAATTATTCCATGGCAGATCAAGGGTTGCTTTCATTAACTTCCTTCGAGGAACTGAACATTCCTGAACCTAAAATCAACCAAAATATAATAGACTTGAATACATTGAAGGACAATAATGATAATTTAGAAAACCAATTAGCAAATAAGCAAATATGCAGGACTTGCTTGAATATAATCAATGATTTAGATTACATTACAGTTAACGAAGATTTAGAAATGGTAATAAAGGCATGTCTTCCCAAAGTAATTCTCAACTTGACCAGAGACCCTGTAGTTTGCCAAAAGTGTGTCGAACAGCTGGAAGAGTTTTACAATTTTTCAATAAACTGCATGAAAATCGAAGAAGAGCTTAACAATTACTGTAATGACAGTCCCATCGATATACGTGATTTTTTATTAGACAAAACAAAGCATGTAATTGATGATTTTGTTATTGAGGTCAAGCAAGAAGATAATGAAGAAGCTATTAAAAGTGAAGATGAAAATTCAAATAAGCCAGACGACTTAGAAGAAACTTCTTTAGAGTGTCAAGAGTGCAACAAAAAATTCAAATCCAAATGGGCTTTGGGTGGACACAAAGCATTCCATAAAGCAAAATCAAAAACTTACACTTGCCACGAATGCAATTTGAAATTCAAAAACAAAATTACCTTAAAAAAGCACATTGACGCTCACATCTCAGGTGCTCCATTGAACAAACTTTTTCCTTGCGAATGCGGCAAATTTTTCAACAGACATGCCAAACTCAAAAAGCACCAAGAAGTACACATTAAAAAAGACAAACCTTTTTCCTGCGAAGACTGCGGCCGCAGATTTACAGAAACAGCCCTACTAGACAGCCACATTGAAAGGGTGCACACAAAAGAAAAACCCTTCAGCTGCCCCCTATGCCCAAACAAATACACCCGACAATCTGGTTTGGATGTTCACTTCAAATCACATTTCCCAAACAAAAAGCCTCGCTCTATGCCCGATCTAATGTGCGACGTATGCGGTAAACTATTTCACAGAAAATACAGCTTGGAAAAACACAGGATGAGCCATACTGGCGACAAACCGCATCAGTGCCAACACTGCAGCATGAAATTCAAGGAACGCTATCAGCTCAGAATCCACGAACGTAGACACACTGGAGAAAAACCCTTCAATTGCAGTGTTTGCTCTTTCAAATTTCCCAGCAAAAGCAGGCTGGCACTTCATATGAGAACGCACACTGGTGTTAGGCCTTTTAGTTGTAAATTTTGTGAAATGTCTTTTAGTAGGAATGAGCATTTGATTAAGCATGTAAGGGCTATTCATACAGGCGAAAGACCTTTCGAATGCGATATTTGTAATAAGAATTTTAATAGGAAAGATTATTTGATTAAACATAGAAAAGTACATTTTAAAACTAAAATTGTTAATAGTTAATTTAATCATTATAACATATTTATACAAAAATATTCAATTCCTTTTCTTTTTCTTCTTAAATCCCTCAAATTGCATACTGGCTAGTGGATTATTCTTCTTGGCCTTTAATTTATTAGTATATTCATTCCCTCCATCCCTTTTTCTCTTGGTCTTCTTACTGATTCCAGCTAAATTCTTCAAAGTGGCTGGAATAATATATTCTGGAACATCTGTCAAGTGTTGCTGCAATCTCACTGTATGCAAAGCCTTATCGTGACGTAGCACTTGCAAATCTGAAGGGTTGTCTTCAAAGTAGCTCTTCAACTTTTGGCAATTGAAAATTTCTTGTTTGATTTCCTTAAGCCGGGCTTCGCGTATAGCGATTTTTGTGACTGCCCTCCAAGCATCTTTTGCTCTATATTTAAAGGCCTCAACTTCTTCTAATTTGAATTGGTATGATTTGAACAATGAAACATCTTCTTGGCCTTGTTGGATGAATTTTTCAACTTTTTCCAATAAAGTGCTCTCTTTCATGCTGACAAAAGACAAAACGCTTCCTTGATTGTTGCCCCTAGCAGTTCTGCCTGCTCTGTGAATATAAGATTGAATATCTAAAGGAAAATCAAAGTTGATCACATTTGAAACAAATTGGAAATCAATTCCTCTTGAAGCACCACTGTTTTTGTCTTTGTTTCTTTTTGATTTTTTTTCTGGTTCTTCGTTGCCAGGCTGTTCCAAAGCTTTTTCATCTGAGGCAACTATAATATTATACACTCCTTGATTGAATTGATTCACTGAATGACATCTTACAGCTGCAGGAAGTTCTGAATTCAACACGCAAGTACGTATACCAAATTGTTCCAAGTATAATTTAATTTTATAACATTTATCAACTGTATTAACAAAAATAATTGTTTTGCCTCTAATTAAGTGCAACTTAAGTAAAGCATACAATATAGTTGCCTTGTCTATTTCTTCAGCATTGAGATGATAATGAGTCAATTGACTGGCAGGAGCCAAATCAGGTTCTTCCAGCTTCAATGTAACAGGATTGTGTAGTACAATTTTCTTTAAGCTTTTTACATCTTCACTTAAAGTAGCTGAAGCTAAAATTGCTTGATAAATATTAGGCAAATGCTCTAGGAGTTGTTTAGTTTCAGCTTCATAGCCAAAAGAAAACACTAAATCAGCTTCATCAATAACTAATAGTTCTAAGGAGTTTTTTAAGTTTAAATTGCCTGCTAAAATGTGCTGTAAACATCTACTAGGAGTTGCTACAATAATGTCAGGTTTTTCTACAAGTAAAGGACGTTGTACGTTTAAATCTTCTTGTGGAGCAATATCTACGCATTTTACCTCTCTAGAACATTTAATTGTTAAATCTTTTACCACTTTACAAATCTGGTTGCAAAGCTCCTTGCTTGGAGCCAAAATTAATGCTTTAATGTCTTGCTGAGTGGAGGTTTGTTTCAGATTTAATATTCTTTGAATTGCTGGGATTGCAAAGGCGGCAGTCTTACCGGAACCAGTGCGGGCTCTTACCAGAACGTCTTTGCCTTCGAGAAGGAGCGGAATGGCCTTTTCTTGGATGAGAGTAGGGGCTTCCCAGCCCAATTTCGCTATGGCTTTTAGGATACGATCGTCCAGTTCCATTTCGTGGAAATTGTGGTGCTTTTCTTCGTCTTCCATGATTCTATGAACAGTATAGAGGGAAAAAATTACTTTTAATTTTAAATTGCGTTGCCTTGCTGCTTTTGAGGTTAGGAACAATTTGTTCTTTACTTTTGTTCCGAACAAAAGGAACACAGAGCAGAACACACATTCATCACAGAGTTGTTTGGAAGGGAGTCAGGGCATTTTTTTTTTGACCTGTTCTAGAGTAAAGAGAGTAGTAAATTCGTTGCAATTTTTTGACTTACGAGCATGCTGAAAGAGCACTTTATCGCATAGTTTCTCGAATGTTTTTAACCAATGAAATTTGCTTTAACTGGGGTGCGATTTTCGAAACCATTCGTATACATTTCGCATACGAAATTTGACTGACAGCAATGTAAATCAAATGGGGAGCATTCGAAATCATATCAAATTTCGTATACGAAATGTACTCGAATGGTTTCGAAAATCGTAACCCTGGTTTGAGATTTCTGTACAGACATATTATGCCTGTTCGTAGACAAATCACAAACCAGTCAGAGTGAATCTCATTGGTTGAAAATAGTTTTCTGACTGTTTCTGATTGTTTTCAACCAATGAAATTCGCTCTGACTGGTTTGTGATTGCTGTGCGAACAGGCCTATATTTAATTGAGTTTGGGGTGCACTCTTTTTGACTTTTTTATACTCCACTAGTTCGGATACATCAGGTGGGTTCGGCTTGCTCACTCCGTGCACTCCGAGTGACTCCATTCGCACTCCAGCCGTTCGGGTATTGATTTTACCGTAATAGGGGTGACTCCATTAACTCCGTTCACTCCACTCCAACTCCGCGCTAAATAGCCGAACCCAGCTTTAGAAAGGAGTAAAAAGGGTACATTCCAGTTTCAAAGATGAATATATTTTCAAAATGGACAAATGAATGAAGCGGATAAAATTCAAAAATTATTGATAATTTTTCTCCTATAAATTCAAAGTTACAGGTCTAAAATCCACTCCAACAGTTGAAAAATTAAGAACCGCTATTTTTTTCAATACTCATAAGCTCTAGAGCTAATCGTTCTAAGTTATTCGGAGCGACTCGTACTCTAAAAATCGGCGGAATGAGCAATAAACTATATACTACACGTGACGTTGTATACATTTCTCTTTCAAATCGAGGTCCACTAACACCGGAGCGAGTAGCTCTAGTGTTCTAAACTCTTGAAAGGAATATAATTTATGATACTGCACTGGTTCAGATCTTAAGAAAGGAGTAAAAAGAGTACACTCCAAACGTTCCATTCCAAAAGATAATCGGAATAATCAAAATAAAGCGTATAAAATTTTAAAATAATTGATAATTTTGATCCTATAAATTCAAAGTTACGTGTCTTATATCCACTCCACCGGTAAAAGTACCAAGAACCTATTTTTTTTTTCAATGTTACAAGCTTTAGAACTAATCGTTCAGAGTCATTCGGAGCTACTCTCACTCTGAAAATCGGTGAACATGTTGAGGGAGTTCCATTTACTCGACCTCATAGCCGAACGTGAACATAGATACTCTATTTACGTTAAAAAAATAACCCATACATTCAGAACAATTGAAATGGAGCAAACCTGGGCCTAGTTTTCTATTTTTATTATTATTTCATAGAGCAATTAGAGTAAATAGAACACACTCTCCAAAATTACCACTAGCGCCCTCTTGTACCAAAAAACTTTTTTCTCAAATGACAATTCATTGACATTTCTATTCCATTTTTTTTTAACTGGTTAAAGTGACGAACATGGCGGACGATAAAGATGTGGAGGAAAAAACTATCGCTGAAGATTTGGTTGTTACCAAATATAAAATGGCAGGGGATATTGTTAACAGTGAGTTTTGTTTTACACTATTAAAAATTTTAGGGACTCAGCCCTGTAAGCTGTAAACTGTTCGAGCCCCATATGGAACGGAGCATGTTTATTATAGCACAATGCCATGTGGTTTTTTTAAGTGAAAATCGGTTTTTTAGAAATATTGAAGCTTGTTATTGAAAAATGCGTTCCTGGTGCTTCAGTGAGGGAAATTTGCAATTACGGAGACGAGCTTTTAAACGAGGAAACTAGTAAAGTTTTCAAAAAAGAAAAGGAGTTGAAAAAAGGTATTGCCTTTCCTACGTGTGTCTCGGTAAACAACTGTATATGCCATTTTTCCCCAATGCCCAGCGAGCCTGATTGTATATTGAAAGAGGGAGATTTAGCTAAAGTGTAAGTAGGTTTGTTCACACAGGTATCACAAACCAGTCAAGAGCGTTTTTGATTGGTGCAAACAACCAGTTTTTAGTATTTTCAACCAATGAAATTTGCTCTAGTTGGTTTGTGGAGTACTTTTATTTGAATATAAATGATGAACAAAACATTTCCAATTGATCCTACAGACTTATAAAGATGATCAGACAAATAAATACTCTGATAAAGTAATAATTATTGAAAAATCCACTTATAAGAAATTAATCAATTTGAAATATAATCATTATTTTTTCAGTGATTTAGGAGCTCACATTGATGGTTTCATTGCAGTTGTAGCTCACACCGTTGTGGTTGGCGCTAAACCTGATCAAAAAATCACAGGTAAGAAAGTTGTATTTAGTCTCCCACTTTTGCCGCGCTTTTGCGACATACATACAGGTTCTAGCCAATAAGAGATTAGAGATTCAAATCCCATGTTGCCCTAGGTTGTGTTGCCACATTGCTTTTAAAATAAAATAATGACTTAGTACTTTCAACAAAACATGGGCTGAAAAATAAAAGTATCAAGTGTAAGTTTAATGTGGCAGTAAAATACTGCTACTACTGGCAACACTGCTTGATGCATCCTTTATAGTTTATGTATGATATTTATTTTATATTAACACAACAGTGTTGCCAGGTTTTGTCTTGATTCGCTGGGAATTGGGTTTGATTACAATTTGGAGACTTTTTCTGGAAAATTCATGACAAGAAAATTTTGAAACTTTTGGGGTAAGAAGAGAAGAGTTCAGAGGCTCCTATCAGTAAAATTTCCAATTGATCCAGTGAAAAATACTCACAAGAGAAGTTCATGAAAATCTACTTACAATAACTGAATTAATTGAAAATATAGTCTCACACGTTTCAAAATTTTCCTGGAAAATTGATACAGGGACAATTTTGATACTTTTTATATGCAAAAAGGAAAGTTTGTTTGTTTACATCCTATTGGTCAGTACAGGGTGGCCCAAATTCGAGCCTCATCATTGGGATCTTGGTAACCGTAAGAGATACGGGGTCCGTATTTAAAAAAAATAAATTGACGATGATTCCAGAGGAACGAAACGTTGGATTTCAATTTTAATATCGCCATCTTGTAGAGAAGAAAAAGTGACAATGGGAATGTGAAATTAGTTTTTCAAAATCTTTTTAAATGGAATCAGGAAAAAATTCAAGAAAAACAAGAAATTTATGTTTTTTTCGTATAGTTTTCATTTTTTCCTGATTTTATTTAAAAAGATTATGAAAAACTAATTTTACATTCCCGTTGTCACTTTTTCTTCTCTACAAGATGACAGTATTGTATTTAAAATCCAATGTTTCGTTCGTCTGGAATCATCATCAATTTATTTTTTTTAAATACGGACCTGCTTTTTTAACTGTGTTATTGAAAAATTATAAACAGTGTCGGTTTAAGAATGCCCAAAGATGACAAAATCACAAATTAAAAATCCAGGTCCGTATTTAAAAAAAAGGAATTTGAGGATGGCCGCCTAAAGACGAAACGTCAAAATTCAAATTTAGTAGCACCATCAGGGGAAAAAGTGACAACGATGAAGTGGCATTTATTTTGAAATTGCTCTTCAAATAGACTCAGGAAAAAATAAAAACGATTTTACAAAATTTCGGTTTTTGCCGAATATCTCCGGAAGTATTCGGAATCTTTCTAGTTTTAAAATGGCATTCTATTGGTCATAAAATTGCGCAACTTTGCCATAATTTAACCGACCCCGTATCTCTTACGGTTACCAGATCCCAATGATGAGGCTTGAATTTAAGCCACCCTGTACATGTTTGTACCTCATAATGTCGCCAAATTTTCAAAATGTGTATAAAATGTTTCATTCATTCTTAGGCAGGAAAGCTGATGCGATTTTAGCAGCCCACTATGCCGCCCAAGCTGCCTTAAGGCTCCTAAAACCCGGCAACGAAACCTACACAATCACAGATTCTGTACAAAAAGTTGCAGAATCCTTCAATTGCAAACCTGTCGAGGGCATGTTGAGCCATCAACTCAAACAATTCAAAATTGATTGTGAAAAAACAATCATACAGGTAACTGTAATAATAATTTTATTTATTTATTTCTATGATTTATTTATTTAATTTGAATACAGTACAACCTTGATAATCCGAACTAATTATTGCTAAGGTCAGTTCGGATTACCGATTTGTTTGGATTATCAAAATACGTAGTAAATTTAACTTAAATATGCAATAAATAAGCAAATAATCAAAAATAACCCTAATTTTTAAGGGTTGGTTTATTCGCTTTCTGATACAGACTGTCAAGTATATGCAATTTGGCGAATAAAAACGCAATCTGAAATCTTATTGGTTGGCCAGTTGTCTGCCAACCTGTAGAATTATAGAACAGTAAATTTATCTTGCAGTTACCTTATCAACAAGTTAATGTGAAGCTGAATAAACTGAGCCTAAGAAAAATATGTACGTAATTAACTCCTAGTTTAACTTAGGTTAGTGAGAAAAAAAAAAAAAAAAATTCTGTGATGGGAAAAAAGTAGACTTTTTGTACCTGTTGACAGGGGCAAAAATGTCACTTTTTCTCCCATGGGAAAAAAGTTTTTTTTCCGTAAACATCAAAAAATCACGACTTTTTTAACCTTAATTCTTAATGTTGAAGTTTGACTTCACAGACGTCATTTTTTTGGTTACTTTTTTGTTCGCGCGTTCCGTGAGCGTACAAAAAGGTACTTTTTTGTACGCTCATGGCCGGACAAAAAAGTGACGACTCAAAAAATTTCCTAGATTCCATCGCTTTGAATACCGTTTGCGGAAAAAATCGCATGTTTTATTCGAAGAAAAGAACTTTTTGTGGCTCGTCTAAAATTATCAAACATTTAGTCTCGCCACAAAAAGTATCACTTTTACTCCTAATAAAACAATATACTATTTTTTTCCCCACAGGAAAAAAGTACCAGTACCAGTCAATTTTTTTCCCAAGGGAAAAAAGTAACAGGTACCAGTCAAATTTTTTTCTCAAAGGGAATAATGTATAGATGGAAAATGTTGAGATTTTCCTGTCACAGAAAAAAATAGTGTATTATACATGGAAAAAAGTAAGATTTTAGCGCTCTCTGTGTTGTATCAGGCAAACCACACCTCGCGCTATAATCTAGTACTTTTTCCCTTTGTATAATAAATAACTATTTTTTTTTTTTTTTGCTCCTTACTGGCTGATTCTTCCAGTTCCGCCTTCTTTTTCATTTCTTTTAGGGCCGGTTTATTCACCTTTTCATAAATTGTCAGGTATGAAATCTGACAGTTAAAAACACAATCTGTAATCCCATTGATCGGCCAGTTATTTGCCGACCAATACAATTATAAAATGGTAAATTTATCTTGCGCATAATTACCAGCAAGTTTACCTGAAGATGAATAAACCGGACCTTAGAAGAAAAATGTTCTCAGCTGTTTCAGAATTTTGTTCTGCCCATTGCAAACAATTCTGAAAACATTTTACTGCTTCTTTGTAAGTCAGGTTGGTCGGTACGACATCTTCTGATCTGGCTTTGAGAACATTATTACCTATTTAATTTTACATAAAGCGATTTTCAGCAGTTGTTCGGATTATCAAGGTTGTACTGTATTAAAATGATGATTTTTTTAAAACTTTTCCAATTGATTATATTGTTTGATGCAAAAATATTCTTGATTTTTATACAAATTATACCTACTTAAGTAATAAATTCTTCTAACGGAAAACATAATACTTAACTATTATGTTCTAGAATCCCAATGATGCTCAAAGAAAAGAGCACGAAAAATTCGAATTGGACAAACACGAAGTGTACGCTTTGGACATCTTGGTCAGTACGGGCGAAGGTGTAGGCAAAGAAACCGACACCAGAGTGTCAATTTACAAAAAAACTGACGAGACTTATCAGTTGAAACTGAAAGCTTCCAGAATGTTCTACACTGAAGTTAGAACCAAGCACGGCAACATGCCTTTTAATTTGAAATATTTTGAAGATGAAACTAAAGCTAAAATGGGCGTCAATGAGTGTGTGAAGAATAAGCTTGTGGAACCTTTCCAGGTTTTGTATGAGAAACCTAGTAAGTTTGTATTAATTTGTAATATTTTTGGTTTTATTTTACTTATGATGATTCAAAAGAAATTCCAATTGATCCTACTGATTAATTTGATGTAAATCTATTACTGATAACTACTAAGTAAAATACTATTTTCAATATAGATAATAGGCAAATTTTAATTACATTTTTCAATTTTTTTTCCAGGTGAAATTGTTGCCCAATATAAATTCACTGTACTCATCATGCCCAATGGACCTCACAAAATTACTGGTAATATTACAAATAAATCAAAATAATAAATCATAATTCAATTACATATTATTTAGGTTTGCCTGTTGATGTAGACTTGTACGAATCCGAACATTCAATAACAAACCCCGAACTCAAGACTCTTCTAAACAGTTCGGCCAACCCTAAACAGGCCAAAAAGAAGAAGAAGAAGTCCGAAAGTAACGCCTCTGAGCCCATGGAAGTGGAGACTGCAGCTTGACTTTGAATTTTTTCATTTTTTTTTTTACTTGCTTTATCCCCCAGAAATACATATGATATATTTTCTCTGACCCATTTTATAATTAACTCCAGACTATTTTTTAGCTTAATATTGCTGGCAATTTTCAAGTTGAGATGTAATTAATCTCTTAATAGTATTCATGATTTTTTGAAATGTCCAGCGCCCCCCTTCTTACTCTGATGTTGAATTTGAAGCTATTATATACTTTGTAAAAGTATGTTGTTTTTATTTTGATTCCTAGAACAATCTATTTCAGATAATAATTCTCAATTTGAATATGAAACTTCTTACAAACAAGAATTGTTTTGTACAGGGTGAGCCAATTTGGACACTGTACAATGAAGATTTTATGAAACAGCCTCAGAGTGGAAGATAAATAAAACATACAAAAATGTACTTTACTTTATGAATTTTAAACTTCAACAAATTATGGTCAAACAAAACATATTTATAGTCAATGTAGATTATAATGTATTTTTTTTTTTATACAAAGATCCCACATTCAGTCAATTAGACTAGAACATTACAATGGCACCCGCATACAAAATCTGGTTCTCTTTAGCAAAATCCTCCTCAAATTAATAAACCAAAAAATTACCCAATTATCAATTAAGTATCAGGTCTAAAATTCGGTCCAATTTGGTTTTGTTGGTGCTCCAAAAGCTGAGCCAAAGACTGTGGCCCAGGCCCTCCAAACAAAGAATGCTGAGGCCCATTGAAAACCTTTTCAACTTGTCTCGGTTGACTTTGTAAACTGGGATTCCAACTTGTGTTGTTGAACAATGAATATTCTTGACTTGTAGTGGCCTCTTTTAGCATGGCTTGCCTCATCGACATTGAGTTGTCGTTCATGATTGGCCATGGAGATGAAAAAGTGTCAAAATTAGGAGGCTTTTGATAAAATTGTTGTGGATAGTTTTGATTATATTGGTTTGGGTAAGTGTAAGTTTGAGGGTTGTATGGTTGATTTTGAGGCCACCAAGTGTTTTGATTGGTTGCAGGGGGTAGTTTTAAATCTTCCCTGCCCCAAGAGTTAAATTGAGGTGGGGGCACGCTGTATTGATTAAACGCAGGTTGATTATTAGGCAAATTTGAAAAGTTTTTTGAGAATTGAGGCATCATATTGTCTGCACCTTTGCTCAAATTTCTCAGGTTTGTTAAGTAATCATTTGACTGAGGGGGTTGTAAAGGAAAAGCTGGATGATTTTGATTGAAACTTTGAGTTCTCAATTGAGGGGGGTTGGTGAATTGATTGGGTGGATTTGCATCAGCGACTTTGATTGGTTCTTGGGTTGCTTCCTCAGCCACGTTGAATTTTACTTGTTTGCTTTCTTCCATTTTTTTGAATATACTTTGCAAAATGGCGTTTTGTTTAGGTCGCTTAGTGCGAGTGGATTCTGCATTTTTCTGAGCTATTTCTGACGTATTTTCCTCGACGGTTTTCTTCACTTCTCTCTCTTCTCTGGATTTTTCCAATGAACCTTGCGGCTTCAGGATACCAGCCTTTTTTTCTGGAAATTCTACCAAAGAAGAAATTTACATTTATATTTGAACTTATAGGATTATTCCTTAATAATATTAATAGGCCACTTTCACATTTATGACTAGGGGTTTTTTACCTTTTTATTCGGTGTACAAATCACTGATTACATTTTCTAGGGGTCAATTCGAGATTTGAGAAAATATTACCCCAGGAAAATATTTTATCTATCTATCTTAATAATACCGGCAAAAATGTCACTCTATCCAAACTTAATAATTTTTAAGAAAAAGGTCTTTGAAGTTATGACAATTTTTGACAAATATTTGAAAGATAAAGAAAATTTTAATCATTATGCGATCAAAAAAAAAATAGTTAACTCATTCAATTATCAAGTAATAATGCATTTTTAGTCAACAACAATAATAAAAAATTGAAAAAACATGACACCTTCACTCGTAATTCGGTATCTAAACATTTGGCAACATAGTGCAAAAAAGTATAGGTGGTTGAAAATAAAATATTCACAAACGTCGAATATGCAGATACTTATTAAGGCAGAATCGTTGCAAAATGCTCATTTAGCCGCCAGAATTCACAGGGAAAGATTTCCCAATAGAAAAGCACCCACCTGATGAAAGAACATTGTGCCCGAGTCACAAAGATTGCGTGATATGGGAAGTGTAAGTGTGTAAAATTTGTTCAGTGCAAAAATGTCATTGAGTGCAATAATTCACAACTTAATAAAAAGGCACATTTTTTTTATTTTCACTAAAAAGTGATAAAAATGCAAATTATTATTTACATTACTTGAGAGCGAATAACAAACCAAAACGTAAAGGCGGGCACAGACATGCGGTATTCGGCCAGTCTCGAATCACAAATATTTGCTATTCGGCAAGTAGCGATTAGTGTGTATGGGTTGCTCGGGCAAAAATTCGCTATAGCAACCCATACACACTAATCACTACTTGCCGAAGAGCAAATATTTGTGATTCGAGACTCGCCGAATACCGCATGTGTGTGCCCGCCTAAACAGGTGGAAATAAATGAAATGCTTGCAAAAAAATTGAATTTATCAGTTTTATTTACATTAATATCCTGGTAGAGATTATCTCTACAATGTTGTCACGTTGTTAACATTTTTTTAAATTTAAATTTTGCAATAATTCCGAAAATACTTAACAATTGACTCATGATTCATAGCCTTATAGGACAGTCTTGGCTTGAAATAGGTCATATTATTGCATGCTAAAATATTTGTACTCATACCTGATACTCCCTGTATTGTTTGACAATTTGTCAAAACAATAACATGAAAGAATACACGTACGCTAAATAACTAAAATTTTGATATTCATTTGTTTATTTTCCAGTGGGAGAGGTAATTATCAGATGTGCCAAGTTCCTTCAAAGTTTTGTCAAAATGAATTTCGAACTGAGTGAATCCCAGCGTATCGGTATTTTGATATTTGTTGATGCCATCATTGAATTGGGCATCACAATAACCACTCAAATTTTGAATATCCTATTTTAAGCCTTTGTTAAAATACTCCACCGTTTTCCAACTTTTGAACAAAAAGTCTGTGCTGCCACATTTCAAAAACCGTTTGAAATGGGGATTTGAAATCAGGAGGTTTCACTTACAATAGAGTACCAAAAATAAGGTGTATTTCTATTAAAAAAAAAAAGAAGTTACCTATATTATCTGAAAACCTGTAAACTTGACAACATTCTCGATGTCATCATTGAATCGGGCATCATTAATTACCCATTAGGCAGAAAATTTCGTAGTTCTATTTCGATCCGATATGGAAATATTTGACCGTTCCCAGCCTTTTGAAATACACTGTATGTCAATACTTGTAGATATCTAGGCAATATATGTGAATACCTGTGGATATGTGAATACCTCAAATTCTGGCAAGACAAATATTTGGTTTTAGTCTGTCAATAGCATGGCAATACTTGGTAATATATATGTGATAATACTAGAGAAATAACTGGCAATATGTGGAAATATTTTGTTAATACATGGAAATAATTGGCAATAACTTGTTATTAGGTATATAGAAATATCTGTTAATACATGGAAATATGTCAGTTAGTACAGTTAATCGGTGTACAAATTTTGTTAGGTGAAAAATCCCTCGATTTTTAAAAACCTGGAAGACCCATAACTTTTTTTCTATTATGGATACAAAGGTGAAATTTTCAGTGATTCTTATCTCAGTAGAGAACTACAATCCCTGAAAAGTTCCAGAAATTAAATCGCGTTAAGCAATTTGGGGTAAATTTATCAATTTTTCGTTTTTCTGAGTGCCTTTTTTCATAGATTTCAGCTTCAAATCTGAGAATAATTTAGTGTATGGAGTTTGAGGGGTTCTCAACGATTATTTAGATACAAAATCTCAACATAAAAAAAATTGAAATTTCATCGTTTCAGTATAAGGATTTTTTAGCGACTAACTGTTATAACTGTGTTATAAACGGTAACTGAAATTAGGCCTATCCGGAAACACTGATCTTATTACCCAGATCACCACCTGAAGTACTATGTCTTTTTCCAATTGTACTCATTAAAGAAAGATAAAAAACAAACAGCTGGTGATCAGGTTCATCGGATAAGCGTTTTCAAAAAGGCCTAATTTCAGTTTATAACATGGTAAAACTTTAAAGACCCATACCTTTTTTTCTATAAGAGATAGAAAGCTGAAATTTTCAGTGATTCTCATCTTAGTAGAGGACTACAATCTCTGAGCTCATTTGGAAAAAATAATCATAATTTGCCACATTCCTCTGGCACATAAAAGTGGCCTATCTGGTCTGTTTCTGCAGAAATCACAAACCAATTCGAGCCAATTTCATTGGTTGAAAACAATCAGAAACAGTCAAAAAATTAGTTTCAACCAATGAAATTCACTCTGACTGGTTTGTGATTTCTGCAGAAACAAACCTATTATTAATTCAATTATCAACAAGAAATAACTCACACGGAAACAACTTACCATTATTAATTGTATTCTCTCTAATCTCCTTAATGTTGAACGACTTCATTTCTTCCAAAAGATCACGAGTGGGATCCGGCTGAGACAAAACGGCTTCAAAATTAATAAACCCTTTAGTTTCACTTCTAAATAATAAAAAAATTAATTATTAAATACTTAACAAAAAAAAAACTCAAATATTACTTTATTATCAATTTGGTACCATCCAAATCATAGTCGCAAAGCCACTTGGCAAAATCAATAATCCGTCTCATTCTAACAATACTTTCCACTTCATCATCTTCAATTTCCACTTCAAAATTGAACTCTTTTAGATTTTGTTCCAGAGGCAAAAATCCTTGCAGATATCTGTCTTCGTGCAGAGAACATTTTGAAACTAACAAAAACAATAATTAATAATAAAAACTAAAACAATAATAACTAACAACATACACTTGTTATAATTAAATCCTATTAGTAATCCTTGAGCTGCATTGACTAGTTTACACAAACTGGGCCATATTTGCATTCTCTCCCTAAACACTTTACATTTTAAAACATTGACATTATTCTTCAAAAAATACATGAGCAGCTTAACAGCGGGCAAAGCATAATAATTCGTCAGCCCTTCATCATTTTGTAAAGTATAAACTGGCATCAAAAAGGCACTCAAAGACCCAGCAATCAATTCCAAAATTAAATCTTTAACTTTAAGTTCATCATTGGTCAAATCTCTACCCAAATGTGTTAACGCATACAAATTAATTATAGTGATTTTAATTAGTTGTTGCTTTTTAAAGCTTTGGGTTGCTACAAGGGCTGTCATTACAGAGTTTAAGCTTTGCACTTGCAATTGGGCTTGTTTTAGGTCAGTTACAATATGAAAATGCCCATGGGCAGAAAGGAATAAACGAATATATTCATTTACAGTCATTTTAGTTTGTATGTTTTCCAAATGGCTTTCTTTATCAATGGCATTAGATAAAACATTCATAAGATTAGCAGTAGAGGCTGGAAAAGGATTTTTAACACAAATGCCTCTAATGTGATAGAAAACTGTAGACAATTTATCCCCTTGGCTAGCCTCAAGCAAAGCTAATTGATTATAAGGGTGGCCACTGTTAGGAGAAACTAAAATTGCTTGTCTATAAAAAGTCTCAGCTTGTTTTCTTTGATTTCTATATCTAGCAATGTCTCCTAAATGCACCAAACAATACTGGCAAATATACGAACAAGAAGCTAGTTGGGGCATGTTAACTGGATCACATATGGTTGTTTGTCCATATATAATCCCTCTACGTCTAAATGGCAAATCTATATCAAAAATATTACATAATTCTTGTAATAGGGTTAAATAAAAGCCAGAGGCTGCTTCTAAAGCCCAAGTTAATAGGGCTTGAGTTTCTGAACGTTGTAAGTTCTTTTTGTCTCTTGCTTTGTTTTGTAAGTTGGTGATGTAAGTTTTAAATCCGATATTCCACAAGTCTTGTTCGACTTTTTTGTCTAGGGCGTATTCCAGATCGAGTACCAGTACCTGATGGTAAATGCTGAGCAGTTTTTGTTGGTTCGTCCAGGCTTGGGCATCATTTAACAAATCAGATTGTTGGAGGACTTTGGGTTTGAAATCTTCCGCTTGTCTATAAAATTTGAGGTAAAATAAAGATTAAAATTGCTCTGGTACTTACTTGAGGACTTGAATTGCTGCTTTATATCCCATTTTTGGTTTTTGATTTTTCGATATAATCGAATTGAGGTTATGGTTGATTGTGATATCAAGAATTTATGGTTGTTTTTTTTTAGATATTAATTATTTTGAGGCAATAATTACCAGAAATTGCAATAGGACTTACTGAAAAACACAAATAATCATTTTTTCTGCTTTTGATAAATTTGTCAGGTCTAAAAATCAACATTTCCAATTTTGACAGCAATGATGGCAACACCGCATAAATAATTTGATGGATCACTCTGTGTCTTTTTCTATTAGTGTGTAAAAGAAAAAGATGAAAATACTTTTTTATTTTCAATTAATTCTAAGCAGATTATTTGGCAACACTGTTGTTTGATTTTTTTTAATAATATTTTAGTTATCTATAATCTGAAAATCAACAAAATATGAATATTTATTGTTAATTATCTCATAATTTATGGAAATTCTGTTTTCGTTTGCTTGATATTTTAATCTGTCCTGTGTTGCAAGTAAGGGTCATTTGATAAAAGAGCCAGTGCAAGTTTTTGAAGAGAAAAAATGCTTAAATCCCTGTTTTTTGTATCAAATAATGTCAGTTTTAGGGTAATTAGGGATAGAAGAATAGGTTTAAGCACTAAAAATGTTAATAAAGTAAGTATACTTTATAGGATAACATAATATCTAAGGTTAGAAAAGTATACTTGAAGTATGAAGTATTTTACTTAAGTACCTACTACTACAATAAACATTCAAAAAGTACTTGTACTGGGACTTAAAATTAGCAATTTATTTTAAGTACCTGCTTACTACATAAAAGTGTACTGAAAATTTGAATTTACTTGAGTAGTTTTCAAAAGTAAGTACTCAAAGTATTTATTAAGTACCTGCTCAATTCAGTAGATAGATAGATAGATAGATATTCTTTATTTGTTCAGTTACAAAAAACCCAGAAGGGTGTAGAATAATGTCACAATGTGAAAATATACCATTTAATAGATTTACTAGATCTTAACACTATAACTGCGCCTATACATTCAATAATGATATTCAATATCATTTTCCCTCACAAGTAATATAAACATTAAAAGGACATTTCATGGCCGAGCCTTATACAACATAAAGAAAAACAGAAAACACAACAAAAAACAACAGATTTACACAAACTATTATATTCTCTGCACTTGAGTGCCTATTGAATTCATCTATGGATTATTTTCCAACGAACCCAGAAGAGTTGTCCTATCCTCATCATTGTAAAATTCACTGATGCTATAAAATGCTTTATTGATTAGGTATTTATACAAAACAGATTTAAGTTCACTTCTCGACAAACATCTAACTCTCTCTGGCAATGAATTAAAAATCTTTATAGCGCAGTGTTTAACATTTTTTTGTAGGTAAGCAAAATTGCACTTTTCAGGTACCATACTATTTTTGTTGCAAGTGTTATAGTAGTGCTTCAAATCACAATCAGAAAAGAGATCTCTATTATCATAAAAATAACACAGTATCCAATATATACATTCCTATCACAGTCAATATTTGATATTTTAGAAAAATAGGCCTACAGCTTTCTTGCTGCCTCATACAAAATATACTCCACATGCACCTTTTCTGCATGACCATAATTCTGTGCACATCAGATGAGCCACCCCAAAAAATAACTCCATATCGTAGCCTAGACTGGATATAAGCATGAAAAGCGTTTATGGCAGCCAAAGTGCTTACTTCTTTAGCTATTATGCTCAGAGCATAGCAGTATTTGGATATACTGCATGCTAGGCTCTCAATGTGTGCCTTTCAATCCAACCTCTGATCAATTTGCACCCCCAAAAAACGCAAACTCTCCAACAACTCAAGCTGATCACCATTGTAAGGTATTAAAATATCATTTTCCTTTCTGTTACCAAAAGTAAGATATTGCGTTTTAGTGACGTTTAAAAGTAGATCATTCTGCAGGAAATACTTATAAAGCAGGTCCATTGCAGCGTGCGCCTTACAAACGAGCATTTCTTTTGTTTTCTCACTAAACACAACAGATACATCATCAGCGTACAGAACAATATATTCCTCAGAAATATCCGGGACCCCATTAGCATAAATAATATACAATAGAGGGCCCAGGATTGATTCCTGAGGAACCTTCCTAGAAATTACCACCTCCACCGATTTATACAAAGCACCCAGCTCATCATTCTCCACCACCATCTGCACTCTATCGCTCAAGTTATCAGACTCAGTGCCACACCATGCACACCATATGCCTCCAACCTTTCACACAGAATGTCATGATTCACAGAATCGAAGGCTTTCGATAGGTCCATGCACATTAGCATTGTATAATCCTTTTCTATTGCTTGATAAATAGCTCTAATCGTAGATTTGCCCTTTCGAAAGCCATTCTGTCTGTCAGTTATTACTGAATACTTATCAAAAAAAAGATGTAAGTCTTTCATACAAACATTTTTCAAATATCTTGCTAATATTTGACAAGAGGGAAATCGGTCGATAATTTTTCTCTTCGTCTGCATCTCCCTTTTTGTGAATTGCCCTTACGTGAGCCACTTTAAGTTTAGATGGAAAAATACCTGTAACAAATGACAAATTTAGAACATAGGAAAGAGGACCAGAGACTTCTTCGGCTACTTCCTTTAAAACAGATACAGGCACTTCATCGTGACCAACAGATCTTTTGTTTTTGAGATTTTTCATGACTTTAACAATTTCTAATTTAGTAACTGGTCTCAAAAAAATTGAATTTTCATTCCTGTTTTGAGCAAAATTTGTATCCCTGTCTGAATCAAACCTGGAAGAATTGCATGCATTGACAAAATAGTTGTTGATCTTATTTAGTGTTTCAGTTTTACTATTATATTTACTTGAAAAGTTTTCAAATATGTTTTTTTTCTTGCTATTTGGCCTTGTAATTTTGTTAACTAGGTTCCAAGTTGCTTTAGTTTTGTCTTCAGAATTTTGTATATATTCCTGATTCGAGATTCTTTTGGCTGCAATATTTTACCTTGTAAGTACTCTAAGTACTTATCTGGAGTCTCAGTTTAAGTAGTTTTCTAGAAAATGATCCACCTTTATTCCTTTATTATTAAGATATGACAATATAGACCCTAGGTACTTGAAGTACAGATGTTTTAATACTTTAAGTAGGTACACAACACAAAAATACTGTAAGTACTTACATAGGTACTCACATGCATATAAAAAGTACCTACTCTAAATACTGTATACTGAAAATAATAATGTACTATACTGCTATACCCATACTGTTTTTTTGTACTTTAAATAAAATACTAATATTAAATATTGAATGCTTAATACCTTAAGTACATTTGCTCAGTACTTGGCTCAACTCTGAATAAATAATACAAAAAACGCTCACAGTGAAATTATAGAATCAGTTCAACAAACCTTCATTATCCATTCAAGTTTTATAAGTGAATTTTCATCAATCTTTCCTGTTGCTATTTTTCACTAGATCAATTTAAAATTACCTTTGAAGGTTCCTAAAAAATACTTCAAGCCATCACAGCAACTTGAAACTTTCAGGATTTATTAATAAGAGTTTCTTCATGATGTAAAACAAGTTGGAAGTTGATAGGTAACTCGCAACCAAAGTTACGAATTTTTTTATTCACTGATACCTAAAAATAACATAAAATTCCTGTAAAATCACCTTTGAAGATTCCTGAAAAATACTTTGAGCCATCACAGTAATTTGAAGTTTTCAGGATTTATTGATTAGACGAATTTTTTTACTCCTTGATACCTGCAAAAAAAAAATATATCCTGTAAAATCATCTTTAAAGGCTCGTTTGAAGGTTCCTGAAAAATACTTTGAGCCATCACAGCAACTTGACACTTTCAAGATTAGATAACTAGAGTTTTCTCATGATACAAAACAAATTAGAAGTTGATATGAAACTCACAGCCAAAGTTATGATATTTTTTACTCATTGATACCTGAAAAAATCATAAAATTCCTGTAAAATCACCTTTGAAGGTGTCTGAAAAATACTTTGAGCCATCACAGCAACTTGAAACTTTGAGGATTTATTAATTAGAGTTTTCCCATGATACAAAACAAGTTGGAAGTTGATATTGAAACTCACAAACAAAGTTATATTTTTTTTTATTCATCAATATCTGAGAACATCATTGAAATCACCTTTGATGGTTCCTGAAAAATACTTTGAGCCATCACAGCAACTTGAAACTTTCAGGATTTATTAATTAGAATTTTCTTATGATACAAAACAAGTTGGCAGTTGATATGAAACTCATAACCAAAGTTACGATTTTTTTTATTCATTAATACCTGAGAAAATCATAACATTTCTGTGTGTTTTGAAGGTTCCTGAAAAATACTGTGAGTCATCACCGGAACGTAACACTTTCAGGATTTGATAATTAGAATTTTCTCATGATACACAAAACAAATTTGGAGTTGATATAAAGCTCACAACCAAAGTTACGATTTTTTTTACTCATTGATACCTGAAAAAATCATAAAATTCCTGTAAAATCACATTTGAAGATTCCTGAAAAATACTTTGAGCCATCGCAGCAACTTGAAACTTTCAGGATTTATTAATTAGAGTTTTCTTATGATACAAAACAAGTTGAAAGTTGATATAAAACTCACAAACAAAGTTACGAATTTTTCTATTCATTGATACCTAAAAAATCATAAAAATCCTCTTTGAAGGTTCTTGAAAAATATTTTCAGCCATCACAGCAACTTGAAACTTTCAGGATTTATTAATTAGAATTTCTCGTGATACAAAACAGGTTGGAAGTTAATATACAGGGTGAGTTACTAAGCGCGCAGTGGTCCATATCTCCTGTCGGAAATCGAAGAAAAAACTAAATATAAAACTTGTAGATAAACATGAATACTACATTCCTAAATGTATATTATCCACCTTCAATTTAAAGCCCAACATATAAAATCAATATCTTGTCCTATTGTAGATTCTTGTATGTACATTTGCCACTCAACCCTCCAACAAAAAAATCTACAAAAACATCAAAGAAGCGATACACGACATCCAAGACGAATCCAAATTACTAGTAGGCGGATTCGGATTATGCGGAATACCAGAAAACTTAATTGGGGCCTTGCTACAGCACCAAGCCAAAAATCTCACTGTGGTTTCAAACAATGCTGGCGTAGACAAATTCGGTTTAGGCTTGTTACTTAAACAGAAAAAAATCAAGAGAATAATTGCCAGCTATGTGGGAGAAAATGCCGAATTTGAAAGACAATTCCTTGCTGGTGAATTAGAAGTAGAATTAACACCACAAGTAATTTTCATGTTTTTAAGTATACAAATAATATTAATAATCATTATTGGTAGGGTACTTTAGCAGAACGTATAAGAGCAGGTGGTGCAGGTGTTCCAGCCTTTTTTACTCCTACAGCTTATGGGACTTTGGTGCACGAAGGTGGTTCTCCCATTAAATACGATGAAAAAGGAAAAATTCAAATTGCCAGCAATCAAAGAGAATCCAGGCAGTTTGATGGCAAAGATTATATTATGGAAGAAGCTATTACTGGAGATTTTGCTTTGATTAAAGCTTGGAAAGCCGATCCTGCTGGAAATCTTATTTTCAAGTTAGTAATTTAGAGCCAGGAATAGAATTTTTAACTGATTTCTAAAATTTGTAGCAAATCAGCTAGAAATTTCAATCCTACAATGGCTAGAGCGGCTAAAGTCACGATTGTAGAAGTAGAAGAAATTGTAGAACTAGGCTGTATACCTCCAGATCAAGTGCATGTGCCAGGAATTTATGTAGATAGGATAGTTTTAGGGGAAAAATACGAAAAACGAATAGAGCGAGTTACAGTACAAAAACTCTCAGACAGCATTGAGTCTGTAGTGAAAAAAAACCCTGCTGCTGAAATAAGGGAGAGAATTATCCGAAGGGCAGCTTTGGAGTTTAAAGACGGCATGTACGGTAAGATTGTGCCAAAAATTATTCAATACATAATTAAAATTATAATAATTTTGCAGCTAATTTAGGCATTGGCATGCCTATGCTAGCCTCAAACTACATACCAAAAAATATGGAAGTGTTTTTGCAATCTGAAAACGGTATTCTCGGTTTAGGACCATTTCCACACTCCAACTGTGTGGATCCAGATTTAATAAATGCTGGCAAAGAAACTGTAACTGTCATTCCAGGAGCTTCTTTCTTTAGTAGTGATGAGAGTTTTGCCATGATTAGAGGGTAAAATAGATTAATTATTGAAATAAAATTCATTATAATATATTTTTTTTGTATAGGGGACATGTAGATTTAACTATTTTAGGAGCAATGGAAGTTTCACAAACGGGTGATTTAGCTAATTGGATGATACCTGTAAGTGATTTTGATGAGTTGAGGTTTTTGCTAATACAATTTTTTTTAGGGTAAAATGGTTAAAGGTATGGGTGGGGCTATGGATTTGGTAGCAGCACCTGGTACCAAAGTGGTAGTTTGCATGGAACATAATGCCAAAGATGGTGGCAAAAAGATTTTGGAAAATTGCACTTTACCTTTGACTGGTATGTTTCAATAGTTTTTATTAATTGAGTTAGTAAATTATTATTATTTGTAGGCAAACAAGTAGTGGATCTTATTATAACCGAAAAAGCGGTGTTTAATGTCGATAAAGAAAATGGTTTGACTTTAATTGAACTTGCCGAAGGGGTGGGTATTGAAGATGTTTTAATGTCGACTGGTTGTAATTTTGAGGTGGCTGAAAACTTAAAACCAATGGGGCAAATTCAGATTGATTAATTTTAAATGGGTTATTGTTTAAATTAAATTAAGAATCAAATTGTTATGAAATTTTATAATTGTTATTACAATAAAGACTGTATTGGAAAAAATAAATCATATTGTTATTGGTTTGATAAATACTATTTATACTGTTATTTGTTGAAAATTTAACTTATTATTACAACAAATAATTGGTATTTATCATTAAAAAAGGTCACGATCTTATTGGTTTAATTGCAACTTATCACAGTAACTTTTCATAAATATAAGACAATTTTGGGCACCCAATAAATAAAATTTAAACATCCAGTAGTTGCTAAAATGTTCTACAAGGAATTATCTTCTCAAACAAAAATAATACTCTTGACCTTTCTTATCACTTGAAAATTACTTATAAATAAACACCTTTATTTGGCATTGGCCAAATTCGTACAAACATGTTACCTGAAACTTATGTGAAAGGTTTTCACGATGAAGAACAAATTCAGAAAATGACTTATAATGATTTTGGAAATACTGGATTAAAAGTATCAACTATATCCTTTGGTACTGGAGTGTTTTGCTATGCATATAAGTAAGAATTTTGCTTTGAATTATTCAATAATAATCTTTTTATTATAGTGACATAGATTTGGAAGAATGTAGGCAAACTTTAACTCGTGCCCTTAAAAGTGGTATAAATTACATTGACACAGCCCCCTATTATGGCCATGGAGAGTGCGAAGAGATTTTAGGCCAAGTAAATAATTAGTTATACATACTAAAAATCAGCTAAACTTATTTTCTTTAGATATTGCAAGGTATTCCAAGGCAAGCCTACTACATTGCAACAAAAGTGTGTCGTTACAACAAAGAAATTAAATCCCAATTCGATTTTACCGCTGAAAAAGCCAAAGAAAGTATCGATTTGTCTTTAAAAAGACTCAAACTGGATTACGTGGATATTTTACAAGTGCATGATATCGAATTTGCTCCTTCCTTGGACATAGTTTTAAATGAAACCTTACCAGCAATTCAAGAAATTGTAAATTCAGGCAAAGCTAGATTTATAGGTGTAACTGGCTATCCTGTAAAACAATTAGCTGACTTGGTTGCAACCAGCAAAATTAAACTAGATGTTGTTTTATCTTATGCCCGACTAACTTTGTTTGATGACAGTTTGAGCCAATACTTACCACTTTTTAAAGTAAGCACTTGAATTAATTATGATTTGGTAATAAGTATGATTTTTTAGAAACACAAGTTAGCTATTATCAATGCAGCAGCACACGCATTGGGGCTTTTGACCAATACAGGCGAAAAACCATGGCACGTAGCTTCGAAACATATCAAAGATGTTTGTGCCCAAGCTAGAAAACTATGCGTAGTGAGTATGAGACAAAATAAATTGAATTAAGATGCAATATATTAGGAAGAGTATTGAATTCTCTATTTATCTGTGCTAAATTGAGTTTGATAGCTCAAATACTTTTTGAGCAAAAGTTGAAATTCAATTTTCTGAAAAACTATAAACCTGAAAACATTTTCCTATACAGGTTTTTTAGAGCTTAATAATAGCTACAATTCCTGAAAATTTTCATTCAATATCTCTTACTGATTTTAAGATATTGAAGCTTAAAGATTTTGAAATAAGAATCCAAAGGGGGTAGGTACAGGGTGTTTTTTTATATATTGACACCCCACCTACAGCCTTTATCTTTACAGGTGGAAGAAAGGTGTAAATACAAAAGTTTTAATAACAGTTTTGGCTAAATTTTCAGAATTCATAGTCAGAAACAAAAATTGAATATCAAAAATGTGAAATGTTGCATGCTTTCAGCTATTTTTAAATGAAATGCCTTATATTTGGTTCTATATTCTTGAAGAGCATAATTTCCAGTTTCCAAAAATATATAGTTTGTTTTTATTTGGTTGAGCCGTCTCCAACATATTCAGTTCTAAAAATATAAAAAAATACTATCACAGAAACCAAGTAGGTACCTCAAATTTTACCTGCAAAGCTTTCACCTGTATAAGTAGAATGGTTCACAAAATCAGTAGTAGGATAGTATTTTTACAATTTTTGGAGCCAAATATATGAGAGACTGTTCAAATTATATATTTTTGGAATCGGGACATTGTGCTCTTCAAGAATATAGAATGAAATATAGGGCATCCCATTTGAAAAAAGCTGGAAACATGCAAAATTTTACATTTTTGACATTCAAATTTTGTTTCTGACTATGGTTTCTAAAAATTCAGCCAAAACTGTACAACTTTTCTATTAAAACCTTTCTTCTACCTGTGAAAATAAAGGCTGTAGGTGGAGTGTTAATATATAAAAACATCATGTACAAATAAGTGGATTATTCCAGAACTTATGGGTGGACCTCTGCCAATCATTTACTCACCAATATACTGTTGAACTGTTCAAATAAGACACTCACCTGAAACATGTAGTTTTTGAACTAATGAGAAAAATCCTCAACTGAGTGAATCAGGTAAGTATTGTACTTGAACAACATATTGGTGAATAGATGGCTGGGTCCACCCATAAGTTGTGCAACAATCCACTTGAATAATTTGTCACAATATATTACTAGTTTGGTAAAGTAACATTACTAATTCCTGTTAAAAGGCAAATTGACAAAAAGTGAATAATCTCACAAATTCTGACTTCATATAATAAGTTATTGTTCAAGTACAAATAAGTGGATTGTTGCGGAACTTATGGGTGGACCTCTGCGGGACGAGCGCAGCGAGTTCCGCAGCCATCTATGTAATCACCAATATACTGTTGAAATGTTCAAGAAAGACATTCACCTGGAACATGTAATTTTTAAACTAATGAGAATAACGCACATTTGAGTAAGTCAGTTTAGTATCGTAATAAAACAATATATTGATGAATAGATGGCCGCTGTAGTAGGATAGTGTTTTCAAAATTTTTAGAACCAAATATGTTGGGAAACGGTTCAACCAAATATAGATAAACTATAAAGTTTTGGGATTGAGGCATTTAAAAAACCTCGCAAAAAACAATCTAACATCATCGTCAAATGACCATTCCAAACAGAAAAGAAAATTTCAATTTTTTTAAAACTCCTGACAGTCAAGAAAAATTGCCAATATCTACATTGAAATTCAAGCAAATCAAAATTAATTATACACCAATAAAAAGAGCATTAAATTCTCTATTAACCTGTGCTAAATTGAGTTTGATAGCTCTAATAATTTTTGAGCAATTGAGCCCCAAAGTTGAATATATTTTTTTTCTGTAGCAAAACGACATTGAATTGGGCAAATTGGCATTGTGGCATAGCTTGCAACAACAAGGCCCCGATACCACCTTAATTGGCATAGACTCCCTTAAAATTGTCGATTACAGTTTGGAAGTTTTACACCATGGACTAAATGCTGATGAGCAAAGAGTATATAAACAAGTTTTAGAGTAAGTTTCATTGACATATATATTTGAGATTGATTTTATTTGTTTTTAGGATCTTTGCAACAAATTTAAATGAAAAACATTGGGAAAATTATGAAGTTAATAAATATTGGGAGTTGATAAGGATGTTGTCTTAGCTCATTCCAGGTACCCTATAAAGAAATTCGCCATCGCTGTCGTAATAACAATCATTTAACTTATAAGTGTAGCCTTTTTTGTAAATGTCTCTTGGTATTGTAATTTGTTGAGGATAAACTAAATGTGATACATCTTTGGTTGTTTTTCTCACAAAACCTACTTCATTAGTTTTAGGTTTGATTATATTTACATCTTCCTGCTGTAATTCTATTGGTTGATTTATAGACATTTTGGCTTCTTTTAACAGTTCTTCTTGTATTGTAACTTGTTCTCCTTTAGACATTTTTTGTTTGACTTTGTTTTGTAGCTCTTTAAAAGTAACTAATTGCTCTTTAGATTCACGTATTTTAAATTTACTTGGTTCTTCAATGGATTCAGTTTTATGCTCTTTTGGTTTTTGATAACTGGAAAGTATTTCTGAAAATTCTCCTTTTATTTGTGGTTTCCATTGCACTGCTACTAATTCATTATTTGTATTTATACTAAGCTGTTGAAAATTTAAATTTCTTATGGAGAATTTTTGTAAATGCTGCTTTAATTCTTGAGGTAAATTATTAAGTTTGCCTTGTTTAAATTCATTCCAGTTTTTTGTTACAGATAAATCATGCCTGTATACGTTGTTAGAATTCTTTTTTGTCCATTTAGCTTTTATAATTCTCTATAAAACAAACAAATGAACATATAAATGTTTTAAAAAATAATTATTTATTACTTGTATAACATCAGGTAGTGCAGGGAATCCTTCTGAAAGCTTCTCGACGCTCCACTCTTCTGAATTAGTATTGTAAAGATGCCTGATTTGTTCTTTATCGTGCCAAGTCAAAAAGTTTGGATATTTCTCTTTGAAATACTTTTGTCTCACAACTAAATATTTTTCTTTTTCTTTCCAAGCGTCCACTTCGATTAAATGATCCTTGTGCGATTTGTGCACATTCATAAAATCAGATTCAGTTTCTTCGAAGTCTTGATTTTCCAGATCTTCTTGGAGGATCTTTTTCTGGTGATAAATGCCTGGATCTTTTTTGGAACGTCTTAGGTGCACTAAAGAACTAGATTGTCTGGAATATAAACGTCTCAATACGAACATTTTTGGATTTTTAGTAAAAATTTTTGGATGAAAAATTCAAAACAAAAAAAATGAGGTTATGTTTAATGTCATGGAAATATTTTTCTTTTCACTTTTCGCGTTGCATTTCTATCTGCCTCTTTAACAGGATGAGAGAAAGAGATCGCAATATACTCATACGCTGTTAGTTAGTAAAAAGCAGAAATTTATGTGCGCATTGAAAACCTAACCCAACTTTTCCCTTTTTGAGTTTTCAGCACATCCCCTATGTTTGTGTAGAAATTTTAAACATATTTTTAAGTAAAAATAGTTAATTAAGCACAATTCCTGGCCACTTATTTAATAAGCACTTATTTCACAATGCCTACAATTGGAATTAAGCGGGATTTATTGTTCCAGGCCCTGGGAAAAACCTACAGTAAGTTCAACTTGAAATCATACATTTAAATATACAAATTTTGCTTTCGATTATAGCTGACGATGAATTCCAAAAAGTTTGCTTCGAATTCGGCCTGGAGTTGGACGAAGTCGTAAGTATCACTAATTCAGACAATAGGTTTGTTCTTACAGAAATCACAAACCAGTCAGGAGCGAATTGATTTATTTCTGTCATATTATCTTCGGAGAGAAATAATACTTGTGTATTTAATTAAGGGTTTTATTCCAAAATTCTATTACATGTCTCATTGACTAGAGATACCCCGTGACACTTCCTGACAGGTCGCGTTGTCTTGCCAACTTTCCTTACTCCCAGAGCTCTGGAGTAAGACGTGTAGCTATACATCAGGCCTAATGGCACATCTCCCCTTTTATAATATTTTTATAAACAATGAAAAATACTTAAGTTTAACTTATAAACTACATACCTAATTAACATAATCGGAAAAGTAAGCAGGCTTCTTAATATTACGTTTGGGTCTGCAAGGTAACACTACATCAGGATTTATCGTCTTATTCCCATTCTCACTGCTGAAACTTTGATGTTGCATCAAAACATCTTTCAAATCACGCGCACTTTCCTCATTTGAATTTTTGTTCTGTTCATTTGTTTCACTAAAACCCTCAGAAGAATCATAAGCCTCTTGGTTTGGCGTATTGAAAGATAAGTCCGTGCTTAAATTATCAGACAATATTGGCAATTCAGTATGTGTGTTTGAAAAATGATAAGGGGCTTGGATTAGATGCCACCGGTTTCTCCGGTATTGACCCACATCAGTTTCTACAATATACGAACGTGGTTCATCGCAAATTTCGATTATTGGTCCATACTTACGTATATCCACAACCCATACCGAATCTCCAACATTTAGAATGTCCATATCTTTAGCATTGTGACGTTTATTATAGTTAGTTTCTAGTTTGTTTTTTAGATATTTTTCTTTCTGTAAAAACTCGGACTTGGTGTTCAGTGTTTCATCCAGTTTACTAGATAAAATAGGAAATGTCGATCTTATTTTTCTGTTCATTAACAGTTCACTTGGTGAAAAACCATGTTCTAAAGGACTTGTCCTGTAAGCTAACAATGCTAAAAATATGTCCTCGTCTTTATTTTTTTTTATTAAACGCTTAGCCGTTTGCACCGCCCTCTCTACCCCTCCGTTACTTTGAGAGAACTTGGGACTACAAGTTACGTGAATAAAATCATAGATTTGTGCAAATTCTTTAAATTTTCGAGAAATCTGCGTTCCGTTATCCGATGTCACTACCTCTGGGATACCAATTCTAGAAAACATTTCTTTCATTTTTGGAATAATAGATTCTTCGGTTAAGCTACTTAACTCAAAAATTTCAAAATATCGCGAATAATAATTTACTATTATCATAAACCACTTTTCATGTTTGAAGAAATCAACAGCTATTTTTTGCCTAGGTCTGCTGACAGTTTTATCTTTGTAGAAGGTTTCTCTTATGTTTTGTCGATTCTCGATGCAGTTCGGGCAATTTTTTACTAAATTTTCTATTTGAGTTGATAGTCCAAACCACCATACACTCATTTTGGCGCGCTCGCGACACTTAACAATACCCAAGTGTCCGGTGTGAATGAATTCAAGCACTTTGAGCTGTAGACTTTTAGGAATTATGATACGCGTATCTTTTAACAGTAGGTTTTCAGAAAACGAAATTTCATATCTAAATTGAAAATAAGGAAAAAGTTCAATTGATAATTTAGATTTTTCTGGCCAAGACATAATTGAATATTCTTTCAATTTTTTGCATATAAAATCGCTTTCCTGTTCTTGTTGAATTAATTTCAGAAAATAGGATTTAATAGGTAAATTTTCCACTTGTAGCTCATCAATTAAATTTTTAGTTTGGATGTGACCACGACTCAAAGCATCTGGAATGATTAGGTTTTTCCCCGGAGTATAAATAACAGAATATTTATATCTCATAAGATGCATTCTGAATCTCTGTAAACAAGGTGTTGAAGAATCTAATTTTTTTGTTTGTAAAATTTGTAACAAAGGTTTGTGATCTGTTTCAAAAATTAAATTTTCAACTCCTGAAATATACTCTGAAAAATACTCTGCTGCCCAGGTCTGCGCAAGAGCCTCTTTTTCAATCTGTGCATAGCGTGTTTCTGCTTGACTTAATAATCTTGATCCAAAAGCAACTATTTCGCGAGATTCATCTTTATTTTCCTGGATAAGGCAGCAACCCAACCCAAATGAGCTCGCGTCTGCACTCACGATAATGATCTTGTTTGGATCAAAAAATGCTAAATTTGGAGGTTTTTCTAAAATCATTTTGATTGTTTTAAATGCCTTATCCTGCGATGGACCCCAAAGAAAGTCATTATCTTTCTTAAGTAATGAAGTTAAGGGTTCCAGAAGCTCAGATTTATTATTGATATATTTTGCCGTAAAATTTATCATACCCAGTAAGCGCATTAAATCTGTCTTATTTTTTGGAAGAGGGAACTCGCGTATTGCTTTAACACGGTCAGGGTCAACAGCAATTCCTCTGTCCGAAATTAAGTGTCCCAAATATTTAATAGATTTTACCCCTATCTCACATTTTTTTTTATTTAAGGTTATACCCTCGGCATGTATTTTTGTTAAAACCCTATGTAAAATCTCATCATGTTTATCTATGCTAGGTGCATGTATGAGTACGTCGTCCATGTGACAGACCACACCCTCTAATCCTAGCAAAATTTTTGAAAAGCAAAATATTCCGGCGCACATGAGATTCCAAACGGAAGTCTCTTGAAAAAAAAAAACGGCCGTATGGTGTTATAAAAGTAGTCAAAAGTTGACTTTCTTCATTTAACTTGATTTGATAGAAACCACTTGTTGTGTCTAGTTTTGAAAAGTATATTGAGGCACTTAGTTGGGACAAAGTATGCTCGATTTTGGGTAAGGGGAAGTGAGACCGGAGAACACTTTCATTCAACTTGATATAGTCACAACATAAGCGAACTGTATCGCCTTTATCAACACATACTATTGGACTAACCCATGTAGTTGGAGTCTCAATTGGCTCTATCATATTGAGTTTCAATAACCTATCTAATTCTGTCTTTAGCTTAGGGAGCAGGGCTAAGGGCACGGTACGAGGTACAGATTGTACAAACTGCTTAGCGTTTGGCTTAATCTGGATTGACATTTTATTTTTAAATTGCCCTATTTCACTAAAAATACCCTGAAACTATCTAGAAATGCTCTCTAAGGTAAATTTAGACAAACTGTCCTGATTTTTCCTACAATTAAAATTATAATCGCTAATTAAACAAACATTTTTAGTAGGAAAATTTAGAACCTTGAAACTAATTATAGCATTTCTGCCCAAAATTGGCTGCCTTAACTTCCTAACTACATAAATGGTCTCTTGGTTCGTTTTACCCTCATATGTTAAGTTGACTTTAATTTTACCCACTGTATCTAACCTATGATTGTCAGTTGCTCCCACAGGCTCACATAAAATTAACTTACTTATGAATTCATCAGGTAACAACTCATAGGGAAAACAACTGACATCTGCCCCAGTGTCTACGAAAAAAGGAATCTTATGTTTATTATCAAGTAGAATGTCTACATACCAACGGTCCTGTTTATCAAGGTATACTTGACCAATAAAATTTCCAACTCCGTCTTCATTCTTGGTTACCTTTGAAACATTCTGCTGTTCCTGCTCCTCAGAACTCAATTCAGAATCACTGTGCTCCACTGCACGTACTGACTTTTTATTTCTGCACATTACACTCCAATGTCCCCGTTTCGCGCAGGCTCTGTCTTCACATGTACTCAAACCACAGAATGCGCATCTTTTTGTACGAACCCTGGACGAAGCAGAATGCATTTCTTTTGATTTGAAATTTTGACCTGTGTTTTGACTACTGCTTTTTATTGCACTGACCGATTGCTCTTGTCTGATTATTTTATTTTGGGTACCCTGTAATTCGGCCTGCCTCACCGCTGTAATCGCTTCGCACAAGGTTAATTTGTCCCTTAACTGGAGCCGTTCACTAAACTTTTTCATTAGCTACACCTATGACGATTCTGTCACGTATCAGCTCTTCTTTCAAGGCTCCATAGTCGCAGTGCTCTGCTAGCGCATGCAAGCTGGTTATGAAATTTTCAACTGGTTCACCGGGTCTCTGCACCCTAGAAATAAACTTATATCGTTCAAAAATCACGTTTCTCTGTGGAATAAAATGTTTATCAAATTTAACCAATATCTGAGCATAAGTTTCAGTGGCTGAAATGTTCTGCTGCATCAAAATCTCCTCAGCTTCGTTACCCATGAGATAAATAAGCATGTCGATTTTTTCTTTATTAGATTTCTTTCCAAAACCACTTACTGACGTATAACGCTCAAAGCGTTTCTTCCATTGAGGCCACTGTTGTGGCTGGGAAAAATTGAACTCGGCTGGGGCGCCTGAACATTCGCAAACATTTCCAGCGACGACCCCGCTGTTTTATCATCATCTCCGGGCATCTTTTCTCCTTTTTTTTTTATAACAAAACACTAATCACTTGCCTAGTATCTGCCAGGGCCGATTCGCAAAATAGGTTATATTTTTTTGATTAATTTCCACAGAAGAGAACAAAACCCATGAATCAAGATTCGATCGCTCACTCACGGTCTTCTTTAACTTCCGTATTATCTTCGGTGAGAAATAATACTTGTGTTTTAATTAAGGGTTTTATTCCAAAATTCTATTACATGTCTCATTGACTAGAGATACCCCGTGACACTTCCTGACAGGTCGCGTTGTCTTGCCAACTTTCCTTACTCCCAGAGCTCTGGAGTAAGACGTGTAGCTATACATCAGGCCTAATGGCACAATTTCATTGGTTGCAAATAGTTTGTTGGCGATTTGCACCCAATCAGAAACGTTCTTGACTGGTTTGTGATTGTCACCAGAACAGCCCTATTTATACTGTCTCTTTTCACAGACCACTGAAAAGCAAATGATTACAAAAGAACAAGGCGATGATTCCCAATTATCCCAAGGGGCATCCGAGGACGTCATTTACAGAATCGACATTCCAGCCAACAGATACGATTTACTTTGCCTTGAAGGTTTAGTCTTGGGCTTGAAAATTTTCCAAGGCAAAATAAAACCTCCAACATTCAAAGTAACAAAACCCCCAAATGGCAACTGTGAACAAATCCTAGTCCAACGTGACACTATAAAAATACGGCAGTTTGTTGTGGGGGCTATTCTGAGAAACTTAAGCTTCACCAAGGATTCTTATGCCAGTTTTATTGACCTCCAAGACAAACTGCACCAAAATATTTGCAGGAAACGTTCCTTGGTTGCAATAGGCACTCACGATTATGATAAAATCAAAGGGCCATTTATTTATGATGCAAAAGCACCTCAGGATATTAAATTTGTACCATTGAATCAGGACAAAGAGTACAATGCTGAAGAGTTGATGAATTTATATGCAACTCACGCTCAACTCAAACAATATTTACCAATCATAAAAGATAGTCCTGTTTATCCTGTTATCACTGATAGTAATGGGGTTGTGCTTTCTTTGCCTCCTATTATCAATGGAGATCATTCGAAAATTACTTTGAATACTAAAAATGTTTTTATTGAATGTACTGCAACTGATTTGACTAAAGTAAGAATTTCATTTTTTGTTTGTATGTATTTTGTTTCATTTTAGAATTTTTCTTTAGGCTAAAGTTGTATTAGATACAATTGTTTGTATGTTTAGTCAATATTGTTCAGAACAATATTCGTCTGAATATGTAGAGGTGATTTATCCAAATGGGAAAAGCCAATTGACACCTGAATTGGCTTACAGAGATGAAGTTGTGCCTGCAGGCAAGGCTAATAAATTAATCGGAATCAGGTATGTTACATCAAAGAATATATAGGTGTTTTAAGATTATGTGTGAGATTTGAAGTCAAAATCTTTGGAAAAGACCCTTAGAAAAAATAAAGAATTTACATCACATTGGCTTAACGCGATCTTATCGTTAGTACAAATGAGTTGAAATTTTCAAGGATTGTAGTTCTCCAGTATGATAAGATTCACTGAAAATTCCAGCTAGAAATTTAGTTATTGTAAGTCGATTTTCCACTGGTGAAACATTTGAAATTTTGGAAAAATGAGCTCCTAACATTCCTTTTTGCATATAGAAAATTTCAAAATTATTCTTTTATCAATTTTCCAGAAAAACTTTGAAATGTGTGAGACTGTATTTTCAATTAATTCAGTTATTGTAAGTTGATTTTTCCTGTTGTTATTTTCCACTGGAAAAATTTGAAATTTTGGAAAAATGAGCTTCTACCTTTCCTTTTTGCATACAAAAAGTTTCAAAACTTTCCCATTATTGGATTTTCAGGAAAATGTTGAAATGTGTGAGACTGTATTTTCAATTAATTCAGTCATTGTAAGTGGAGTTTCAAGATTTCTCATGTTGTTATTTTCCACTGGAAAAAAATGAATTTCTAAAGAAATAAGCTTCTAACTCTTTCTTTGCATACAAAAAGTTTCATAATTTTTCCTCCATTAGTTTTCCAGGAAAACTTCGTATTATGAAAGACTGTATTTCAAATTAATTTAGTTATTGTAAGTGAGTTTCAAGATTTCTCATGTTGTTATTTTCCACTGGAAAAAATTTAAATTTTGAAAAAATGAGCTCCCACCTGTTCTCTTTGCATACAGAAAGTTTCAAAATTTTCCCTTTATTGGTTTTTCAGAAAAACTTCAAACTGTGTTAGACTGTATTTTCAATTATTTCAGTCATTGTAAGTTGATTTTCAAGATTTCTTATGTTGGAAAAATGAACTTCTAACTTTCCTCTTTGCATACAAAAAGTTTTAAAATTTTCACTTTGTTAGTTTTCCAGGAAAACTTTGAAATGTGTGGGACAGTATCTATACAAATAAGTTGAAATTTAGAGCCAAAATCTTTGAAATAAGCCCTTCAGAAAAATTCGAAAATTCACTCTACATAGCTCAATATTCTGTGGCTACATTAACTAGTAAATTTGTATTTATTTTATTTCTTCTAGTGAATCTGCCAAAAGCATTGCCGACCTACTATCAAAAATGTGTTTAAAATCAGAAGTTTTACCCAATGGAAAAGACATCAAAGTAACTGTCCCACCTACTAGACACGATGTCATACACGCCTGCGATATTTATGAAGATGTCGCCATTGCATTTGGTTATAACAAAATTAAAAGGTATTTATAAAATAAATTATTCATTAATAATAAATGTTTCATTTTTATAGGACAATGCCTAAAACAAATTCCATAGGCTCTCAACTTCCTATAAACAAACTATCAGACTCTTTAAGACACCCAATAGCAGAGGCAGGATTCACTGAAGTTTTAACTTTTGTTTTGGTAATTATTAATACATTTTTTGTCTCAATAATTATATCTTGTTTGTTAGTGTTCTCGTGATGACATTTCAACAAAACTAGGCATAGAATCAATCGAAAAAGTCCCAGCAGTTCACATTTCAAATCCAAAAACTCTAGAGTTTCAAGTTTGCAGAACCACTTTGCTGCCTGGCATTTTAAAATCGATTGCCGCCAACAAAAAGATGCCTTTGCCTTTGAAAATATTTGAAATTTCCGATGTTGTCCTAAAGGAGGCTGATACAAGTAAGCATATTTTAGTTTAAAAAATTATTATTATTGGTTTGTTGTTTAAAGATAATCGTCCTCGCATTTACAAAAAGAGAAAACTTAGAAATCCCTGGTTCACTGAAGAACTGTTTGATTTAGTGCAAAAGAAAAATCGTCTGTATTTTAAGCATAGAAAGTCGGGATTAGACTGTGACTTGGAAGCTTATAAAGAACTGAAACATGCTGTTAGCAAGGGTGTGAAAGTTGGAAAAAAAGTTTATTGTCAAGGCATGACTGAAGATAATTATTCAAGTAAGAATGTTGAATGTTTAAATTTGGATGTAGTTGCTTGTTGATGTTATTGGGGCACTAAATATGTATTTTTCTCTTTAGATTTTTACGTGAATTAGATTAAGAGGAAAGCATTAAGATACCTACTTCTTCATTGTAGTCATACCTAACTCAATGTGCTTGTAAAGTAAATAGTAATTTTTTTTTGCAGTGATAGGTGCAATTAACCAAAGAAGATTATGTGCAGTAAATTGCAACAAAAACGCCGGATTTGAAGTTGTTCACGGCTTATTGGACAGAATAATGTTGCTTTTAGAGGTGCCTTGGTCCAAAAACAAGGACAAGGAGGGCTATTATTTAAAGGCAACTTCAGGTAAGTGAAGAATCGAGATTCTCATGAAAAAAAAACTTAATTTGTTTCACAGATCCTGCCTATTTTCCTGGAAGATGCGCCGAAATTATTTGCAATGGCGACGCGATTGGAAAAATTGGCGTCTTAAGTCCGGATGTTTTGACTAAGTTCGAACTGACCAATCCTTGTTCGGCTTTAGAAATTAACATTGAACCTTTTAAGGGGGAAAGAACATTTGAGTTTTTTGTATGATGAAATGGGTTCTTTCTTTGATTTTTGAAATAAATTTAAATACCTAATAACTGGATAAAAGCAATCTAATTTTTTTAGACTAAAGCTGGGTTTATACAGAAAATAAAATAAGGAAAGTCATTATAGACAAAAATGAAAAGTTGTTAACTTTTAATTTCTAGATTAAGAATTGGACCCATTAGAGGTTTGTTCTTAAATGATTCTCACAGAAACCACAAACCAATCAAAGCGAATTTCATTGGTGGAAAATAGTCAGAAAAGTGTTTGTTGGCGATTGGCTCCAATCAAAAACGCTCTGATTGGTTTATGATTTCTGTTGGAACAGACCTTAGAGTGATGAGAATTCAGACCTTAGGTAATTTTTTTTAAATATTTTTAACATTATTTCATATTTCTCTGTATAACGGCCATTTCCCAACTTTTTTTAAGAAAGCCTGCATTCCCTAAAATGACAGTGTCTTCCATGGAGAAATGTCATTTTGAGGAATACTTATTGTTAGTACTGAATTTATAATCTCTCCTTGAGATTTCCTCATAAAATTGACATGACTAAGGACTGGTTTATCAGTGGATGGTTATCTAGTTTAGCTGTCAGTTGAGGTTAACCAGTGATAATTATCAGTTCACCAACAGCAAAACTCATTGGCTAAACTACATAACCGTCCACTGAATTGTAGCAAACGTCCATTCTAAACTTACAACCTCCATAAGGAATGAGTACTTATAGATTTGTCCCTAAAATAGTTGGTAGAAACGGCCTTATCTCTTATTTCCTATGTTATTTCTTTATTTTATTTATTGTGTAAATCAGGCTTAAATTTTCAACATTTATTTAATAAAATAAATAGAAAAGGAAATTGTTTAAATCAAATCATGCACTCAGGATCGATGACAAGTCATTGGCAAATTTATCCTGCTGGTAAAAGTAAAAATTGAATTCAACTTTTAATTTTATTAGCAAGATAAATTTGTCAAAGACGTTACCGGTCTGTCCCTATTATTTTATGTACAGCGTGGATCAATTTAGACTCTTTTAATCAGGTTTTAATAGAATATGTTCTGAAACGTCCTTATTTATGAGATACAGGGCGATAAGTTTTCAAAAAACAAACTTACTATTAAGAGTCGGTTTCTCAATAGCGAGTCACACGTCCTAGTTGGTTTTAACTCCAGGGTAAATGTGTTCAGTTGCAATGTTTACCCTCGAGTTATGCTTAACCTAGAGTTGACTTGTTATTGAGTAACTGGCCCTAATACATATCTGTAACACCACTATAGTCTGGCAAGTGGTAACTTGGTAGAGACGAAAGGGGGAAGAAAAGTTGGACGTAACCTAAAAATATTCACTGACATCTTAACTGACACCGCCCGATGACAACCATGTCTTTGGGTTCAGTGGCCCCGAAAACACCAGGGAAATAAAGCAAAAAATTATTAGGAAAAAAATTCTTGAGTTTCACCAATAACCACGCCACTGGTGCTGTCGTTGAGGCTCTAACCAATAGAATCATGCCTCTAAATAATCACGCCTCTCCACATCCTTCATTTTGCAATGCTGCCGGATTTTATTCTATTCCAAAATGATACACATACCCATATTGCAAAAAAAATATGTCACTAACTTGTTTATTATTGTTTCTGTCAAGTTTGGCAAAGCAGCAAATTCTTTTGCAGTTCGCCGTTTCGCTAGCCAGACAATATATATTTTAATGAAATTTGGCATAAATTTACTGGATGATTGTCTATTTTGCATTAATAAACTATACAGGGTGTTACATTTAAAATGAAACAGGCTAAATATCTGATGCCACATTTATTTTCGGAAAAATCGCTCGTACACGTAATTTAATTTTCAAACGGGGAAGTTTTTTGTAACCATTTTTAGCACTTCAACTTTAACCCTCTAGGTGGCGGGGGACCAACCCTTACTATTTTAAATGGAACAAGGGGTCGAGTGATACTTTTTTTAAAAGAGCGTTAAATTCTCTTTCATTTGAGGTTATTTGAAAGAAAATTGATCGCTTTTTTGGAAGAGGTATATCACTCGACCCCCTGTTCCATTTTTGGTAAGGGTTGGGCCGGCCCCCCCTAGAGAGTTAAGAACACTCACAATCAAATTACGTATACGACGGTGTACGAGCGATTTTAAAAAAAATAAAAGTGACTTCAGATATTTAACCTGTTTCGTTTTAAATGGTATGCCCTGCATACTATACGTAACTGGAAGGGGTCCGACCGTTGTCAAACATAGCATTTTTCTCTCTCTTAATGGTCCAAAGATAGCCATATCGTGGGGGATACCTTTCTCTCACAAGTTCATTGCTGTTAGGTTTGGTATATTCCTAATCTCAAATACAATATTTTTTTAGACAAGGAGAGATATCCATAATTCGCCAATAAGATAAATATAGATAGGTATCCCCCACATTCTTCATCTCAATTTTATAGATCGGCAGGCTATTCCAGGTATGTTTACTTTATAGTTCATTGTTTTGCACTGGCCCATGCCTATCTCACCTCTTTGAAGAGATACCCAAAAATGTGAAAAATGTCAAATGTGAAAGTTGTAGGTAATATTCGAAACTTTGTAATGAAGTTAGTTACACCTATACAGGGTGTGTCACAAAAGTGTGGCAAAGCTATACTTTTTTTGAGGGAACACCCTGTATATTATTGACCTACTGAAGAAATATGGATATTTTACTTGAATGGTTACCATTATATTTTGCTGGTGGTTTCTATACTTTACCTTTTTCAATAAAAATGCATTGATTCCATCCCTTTTTTCCTTATTTTTTCCCGGATTATTAGGAATAAACGTAAAAACCCTAGTATATTTGAAATTAGGCTTGAAAGGTTAATCCAATTGGTCAATAATATACAAGGTGTTCCCTTTAAAAAAGTGTAACTTTGCTTTGCTACACTTTTGTGACCCACCCTGTATACTACTTGTAACTAACTGCAAAATTTCACATTTGACATTTCTAAGTGTCTCTTGGAAAAAGTGAGATAGGTTTTCTAGACAATCACCTGTACTATGTATGAAGAGGTATATTTTAATGTACTCAAACTTCCACCAGTGGCGTTCGTACGGAATTGGAGCTGCCTATTTAGGCAGACATTGATGGTACTCCACTGATTTCTCTGAAATTAAAAATTATTCTTGAAATCACCAATCAGTTGATCACCTGATTTTCTGCAATCCGATGCAAAATCGTTTTTCTGCATGATCATAACAATGGGTACATTTAGACGGTCCCAGCGGCTTAGCTCAGCCTCTCAGCAGGAACTTTATTCTCGAAACCAAGAAACAGCGTTCTCATTGGAACGAAGGTTCTGTCTTTGTCGTCCGGCATAACACTGACAATAACAGAGTAATCGTTCTTATGAGAAGGCTGTTTTTTGGTTTCGAGAATAAAGTTCCTGCTGAGAGGCTGAGCTAAGCCGCTGGGACCGCCTGAATGTACCCAATATCCCTGATATGACTCACAATGCAGAGAAATAGATTTTATTTTTTTCAGGTGAAAACCGTGCGTCAGATTGTAAAAAATCACTTAGTCAACGTTGCTTGGGGGATTTCAAGAATAATTCTTATTTTAAGAAAAATCAGTGGCGTACCATCAATGTCTGCCAAAATGGCTGAATAAAGACTTCATAATAGTAATAATAGTAATGGGCAGGTCAAATTCTGTACAAACGCCACTGGTAGTTCCTTGCTGGGACACTGAGTTATATATTCAACCCTGTATAGGGTGTCTCTATTACTGGCTGGGTTCGGTATTTGCACCTGCGAGCAAAATGAGCAAAATTTGACAGATGTCAGGTGATTTGACACATGAAAAAAGATAAGTGATCACGTGACGTCTGTCTCTTTTGGCTCGCAGATGCAATTATCGAAATCAGCCACTAAAAGAAAGACTTTGGTCAATACATACCTCCATTTTACATGCATTACTATTTTTTAAAATTTTGTCTTTTTGTCTATTAAAAAGGTAAAACTGAACATTGAGAACGATCATCCAATATCCAATCAAATTAATTCTGATGCCATTTTGTGACTTTTATCGACTTAAAAAAATCAAAAAGAAAATGGCTGATTTATGGTAGCAAAAATTGATTAATCAAGTGATTATTCCCGGCTCTTGATCTGAATCAAGAGCTAGAAATCATCAAAAATTGAACATTGAAAGTGATTAACCAATCAAATCAATTTTGTCTGACGCCATTTTGTGGCTTACAATTGACATAAAACAATTAAAATTCCAGGAGAAAATGGCGGATTTATGGTAACAAAAATTGATTATTCGCGGCTCTTAATTCGAATCAAGAGCCGGGAATAATAAAAAATTGAACATTGAACAACCAATCAAATCAATTCTGATGCCATTTTGTGACTTTCAATTGACATAAAACAAATAAAAATCCTGGAGAAAATGGCGGATTTACACTTCATATCTATAAATTGGTGCCAAAACTGCCAAATAAAAAAAAAAATGAGTACGTCACTGAATTCTGTTTGAAAAAGTACGTCTAGAAAGTTCACACAAAAAACAATTTTTTATAAAATATAGAAAATATCAAAATGCGGTTTGTATCAATGAAGATCATTAAATTTGACCCTCAGAGTGGGTGGTTCATTCTTTTTTATCTCGTTCAGAAATTGACGTTTCCTATTAAAAGTGTTCTAATTGGTCCATCCTATATAGTATACCATTTAAATTTATTTTTGATATTCATGACGCACTACATTTAGTTACAACTAGGGTTGCCAGATTTACGAGAGGGAAAAGCGTGACAACGGCGGGAGGGGGGGGGGGGGGGGAATTATTTAATTTTTTTATTATTTCTATTCCACGTACAAGGAATTTGCGGTTACCTTCAGTGGGGGTAAATCTTTTATTTCCGTAAATGAGAATAATGTATACAGGGTGTTTGGTATTTGGTACATTGATAGGAATATTTCAATGAGTGATAGTTGAGGTCACTTGGGAGCTGTTTGA